TAGTTCTTAGAAAAAAAAGGTTAGTTTAGCCCGATTAATTTCATAAATAAAGACACACAACTTATTATATCTTGTTTTACAGTGAAATTTATGACGAAAACAATCTAGTGTTTCAAAGAAGAGAAACTTGACGGAAATAATTGCTTCGGAGAATTGCCAGTTATGGAGGCGTTGAGTGACTGGTTATTCTTGTTAAATAGTCAATATACAATATACATACTCCATTTTCATAAAATACTCTTAGAAACAGCCTTTACTAGAGAGGATTGACGATCAAAAACCTCAAGCGTGTACGTAAAATGCCCGATAGAATTAGTGCCGTGATCCAATCCAAAGGTGAATCGACTAGATTTTCTGTATTGATTTTTTTATAATAATAAATTCACTTAGAAAGTATAAGTTGTTCATTCCATTCCATTATTTTTTATAAAAATATCCACAGCATCACAAAAATCCTGCCTGAAATATCCACAGCGTTCTTTCGCCGTGTGAGTGACGTTAGATAGAGGCACAGTCCTTCTTCCCCTCCCCCAATCCCTCCACAATCTCTAAATCCCTAAAAGTCCGTAACTCGTAACTCGTGTGGTGTGTTGGGTGTCCATGGGTAGCACCGATTACTTATCATCAGGTAATACGTATAAAATAAAAACTTATATTATTACCAGAGCTTTCCTATTGACACGATGAATTATGTGGATTATTTTCCCCTGTCCAATAACAATAACAATTACAAAAAACTGACGGCCAACATTCGGAAATAACGTGGCTACATACGGAGTAGCACCCGATCCAGAATCAAAAACCTCAAGTTAAATACTAAATCGTACCATTTCTCTTAATGCTACTATTCATAACATCAATTCCTACTCAATAATGAATTGAAAACTTTCGAAACTACGACCAAAGGTCAGATACTTCTGAAGGCTTTACAATTAATAACCACCATAGTTAAGCTGTCAGTTGGCACGAAAATAACTAGTTGTACACATTATTTACATTTGTAAACATTAGTTGTGTACCATCGGAAGTGAAACATTCAAGTTGTAACACAAATTCTAGCTACAATTCTGAGATCTGAACTGCACGTATGTCTTACTCATGTCTCCATCGCAAACGTAGGTAAGTTCATGCAAAATATGCAGTCGATTTGGGAAGTGTCTCGAGTCTACACACACATATACATACTACGAACCACCCGACACTTGTATCACAGTTGTGTGTGTATATTCTCTTCCATTATTAGTTAAGGTTCTCGATTATAATGAAATACAATTGTAGGTTTGTGTGTAAGGGTAGAGTGAAATAAAGGATGATTAAAATTTTTAAGTTAAGTATCGTAAGTTAAGGAAACTCATTTCAAACCATGCGAGTTCCAAATTCCACAAATATAAATAGATATTACATAGATTATTGACACCACTGACTTACGGTGAGGAAACCAGAACTTAATTTTATAAGTAGCAATAAATAGAAGTATGTTTAAAATCTCCCATCCGCTTTGAGCAAGGTGATAGGTAAATGGCAAAACCCTCCGTGTGAGAAAAGCCTTTGCCCAACAGTGGGCACATAAAGTTCGGCGATGATCATTGCTTGATTTCCAGGGAAGATTAATGTGATATTAGGTTTAAAAATTGACTAACCACCCTGTGTGCAATAAGCAAACATAAAATTTTCGTACTATAACTTTCGTAAGCTAGCTGTATATATGAGCCCTTAGCGTGGCTTGAAACTAGCCGAGTTCCTCATCAAATAAGTACTAATTACGCGAGTGAGCCGCTAAATGTAAACAAAATTATTAATAAAAGTTTAATAAATTATTTGGATTTAAGTTCCAAGCATTTTCCTAGATTATTTAGATTTAAGAATTGGGTGTTGTGTGAACTCAGGTTCTTAGATTTCATTTCTTAATTCGTTTCAAGTCGATCCAAAAAATGGCTCTTAAAATTTTAATTATACCTCCTACTGATCAATAATCAGTAACGGGGATGACTGGCATTTTTTTTCAATAAGCAGGTCAAAATACTAGATCAAAGTAGCACATAATCATCACGAGTTTATCGGTACCTACATCGTAGATATTATTTTTCCCGAACGACACGTTGCGTTGGTTCCGGAATAGGAAAAACGATGAACTAAAATTCTCATCAACAGGTCGGAAAAGTCCGCTTGCAAAACCGTTTTCCGTAAAGTTTGCAAACGAGTTAGTAGAGGATTATCACATTCTTTGCGAGCACTATAGCCTTGTATTACATACTCATATTGGTTTTTAACTTTATATTGATTATATTGACAGGGTTTTTCATAAGTTTGATTGAATTTCTATTGGTCTAGCGTACGGATAATTTCGTGGCACAGAAATGGTGTTGTATCTAATATTAAAATCAAGAAAGCTATTATCAACACAAATACCTGAAAGATATAGGTACCCAATCATCCTGCTGACAATTTTTTAATAGGAAAGTTCGGCAAATGATCATTCGTGCGAGCAATCGACAACCGCAACACCAAGTGCGTGCCTCCATTTTGCGGGTTATTAGAGATTTGAGGATTGGATGGAGGATTAAGAATAGAAGGAAGAAAGAATTTGAATCCGGTAAACCCTGTCACCCGACGAAACACAGCGCACATGTTAAACGCTGGTGTCTATTAAGGCCGTGGTACCACTCCGGTCGAGCCGGGCCGGCTTTCGTGCTGAAGGATGGAATTTAACGGATTCAGTAAACAATTTTTTTTTTTAATTCGCCTTTTACGGCCTCGCCCATAGGCACTCATAACATCAGAAGTCTGCCTACTACTGCGTTGCCGTCCGACAATTTGTCGAATCCCATCGGGCTCGAGAGGGTATTGTGCCTCCAGAAGTCCAGAACCTCACTTAGACCGCAGTCACTCGTTGAAGCATGACTCTCACACCACACGTACATAACATGGCTTTCCCACTTGGTCATCTTCTGATGAATGCAAGGTAGATAGAACCCTTTAACCGCACTTGTACATTTCAAAATAGCTTATAAAAATATATACATACGGTGGGTAGTGCGTATTAACCTAACAACTAATACCTAAGTTTTGCTAAGTTTCTCTATACAGAAAGATATAAATTTTGAACGTGCGGCTATTTCGTTTGTGGAAAGTCTTTAATGTCCCGTGGAATCGTTTTTATGGTGTTTACTTTGATCAGAGAACAGCATCAGAACGTCTTTTACGACGCAATAACTTTGAATTCGACACAAAATTGGAAGTTCTTAGAACATTATATCTAGTACGTAGTATGGTAATTATAATAAATTCGCAGTTAAAAGAATTGCATTACATTTTGATTTATATTTTAAACATTTCGTTGGTGGGAGGATTTATAGTGTGATAACTTTACTTGAGGATTAAAGTGGAATGTTTCGGGTGACACTGCTAATGAACGGTCTCAAATGATTGCAACTGAGAGCTTATGTTTAAATACTGTAATTGGTTCAACCATTATTACATAGGACTTGATGGGATTTACTTATAACAATAACTGGCGAAACGTGAATGTTAAATTTAAAGGCATTTTAAAATAATAAAGCTTGTAGAATAGGTAAGACTTTTCCTAATCTCTGGAACTTCTGGTTCGAATTGGACAATCAAGAAAGGATTTTAGGCTATAAAACTAAACCCTAAAACTAGGCCATCCAGTGCCATCCAGAGCCCATTAGTGCGTGGAAGAGTGCGGAAAACATTTGAAGGAAATTATCTTTTTCTACGTGAAAGCAAACGTGCAGACAACGCGCAACGAATGCAATCGGCTCCGCCCATGGACACCTAAAACACTAGAGGAGTTACGTTGCGTTGCCGGCCTTTTAGAGATTAGGGTTTCGGAGATTTAGGGATTGGGAAGGGGAAGGTTCGGCCTCCGTAACCTCGCTGACACGGTAAAACATAACACTGTAGTTATTTCACGCCACTTTTCTGTGAAGCCTATCACTTCCGACGAGCCGAGCCATTCACTGACACTTAATGCATGTATTTGTTCAAGAATTCATCTGTTTTACGTACCCAGTCCCCATACAGTATATAAGTAGGTACCTACAGAACAGGAGTAACTCTCCCAGTACAATAAAGCTCCTTTAAAGAATTTCATTAGAGATGTAATCCCCTTTTACTAAGGGCGGCTATGGGGTTAATTAGAGAACAAGATATTTCATGAGCCCCATTTTTTTAACCATCGCACGTTTATTTTTTATCTTAGTGTCGTACAGGAAATGTGGCATGGGATATTTACAGCTTTTATTACTTTCAATTATTATACCTAATAGACTAATATATTAACTATTATGTAGGTACTTATAACAGCTTACTCTCGTGACTGTTTGACGAGGAACTCAACTAGTTTCACGCCATGCGTGGAGCTCATACTCGTGAGAAGCGTTGCGCGATAGGTAATCAACGCGGCAACAGACTGACCATCTAGTATTTTAAGTAATAATGATACCATTACTTATTTTTTCAACGCAAATAGATCAGTTAATTTTTAGTTTGATCAGCATTACACAACAGAGTCTTACCATAAAGAAAAAAAATCGTCTTCTTATGGCGCCATAAAATCGTCGGTAGTTGTCCATTGACTTTTTGAATACTGAGAAATTATGAGCACAACTAGTCAATATTGAATGAATATATAATACCTAGGTAATTATCAAAAACTATAATCCAAACATTTTATTGTAACAACAATCTCTAAACCTTTTTTTGAAAATAGCTCCTGCTATCCAAGTTAGTCGTGAATTTTAAAGACAAGGTGTAAATGGTAAGTGCTGCCATCTATTGAATGCTAATGCTACTTTATCATAACATGTTGTCGAGAAAAAAACAATTGATAAATTTTTAAAATCATTCGGAAACTCCACAATATCTTCAGCAACTACTACAATTCACTTGTTTTGATTTAATCGTTGCTGACATTTCCTGACGATGCTGAATTAAACGAACGAACAGCATTTCATTTTGAATCTGTCAATGTAGAACTGTGACAGTTCTACAGTCAGCTGTCTTTCTTTTCTATTTGATCTGTAATCTGTTTTGATTAGGTTATGATCCTGTTTATTGTTGTTTGAAGTTAAAAAATAAAATAATTTAAGTGTAATTTGTCTTTAAAAACCAAATTATACATAAATGGAAGACTCAGAAAGTGATAAAAGACCACAATTCGGTAACAGATATCTGGAAAATGCTGACGAAGTGTTCAAACATAACGCGTGGTACCGTATTTACTTGTTTGGTTAGATTTTGTAAAAACTCTCGCTGTGATAAGAGTATAAATGTAACAGAACTGGAAAAAACTCGGTATAGGAAAAAGCCTGCGGGTGGTGGCCGATATTTGAATGATTCGAAGCACGTTTATCTTTTTAATGCCTGGTACTCATGCACAAATAATATTTATATCCAACCTTGTTTTTATTTTAATTTAATGATTTAATCTTTTTGTTATAGGGACAATGTGGACTGGGATGATGAACAAGAGAAGGTCGCAAAAGAAAAGGTAGAACAGAACTCCCAGATAACATTTTCTGAAGATCACTTGAAATCATTAGAAGATGATGCTGATAAACATTGGGATGCATTTTATGATATTCATCAAAACAGGTATGTGTAACTATGTTACTTTACTCAATAAACTAGTCAATGTTATTTTTAAATATAAGTTATAATTTTAATTTTCATATGTACAGCTTCACTTATGCTGATATCCTAAATTAATTGGTTGTTTCATCAAATATAATAATAATAGAATTAAAAAACATGCTAGTTTATGCACCTAGAAAATATATATCTATGGTAAATTTACAGGTTCTTCAAGGACCGCCACTGGCTATTCACCGAGTTTCCTGAATTAGCTCCAGATAACACATCGGCTCCTGTAAGAGTATATCCTGATGGAGACAACAATACCACTCAAATAACGAAACAGACAAAAAGTGACACAAAGAGGTTTATATTTGAAATAGGTTGTGGAGTTGGCAACACTATATTCCCTATACTACAGTACAGTCGTGACCCAAACCTCTTTATTTATGGTTGTGATTTCTCATCGAAAGCCATAGATATTATGCAACAAAGTGAGTTGTATGAAACCAATAGGTGTAATGTGTTTGTCTTGGATGCTACACTTGAAAAATGGAATGTGCCTTTTGAAGAAAACTCTATTGATATCATTGTTTTGATATTTGTTTTGTCTGCTATTGACCCTGCTAAGTAAGTGTCTATTGTTTGGTATATCTAGTTGTTTTTTTATTAGGCTTGCAAACAAGCAGACAGATTACCTGGTGGTAATACATCAGTGACACAAAGACATCAGACATCAAGACGCCCATGAACACTTGTTATACCAAAAGAGTTACTACAAGTGTGTTGCCGATCTCTTGTGGGTTAGTAGGGATTTAAGGATAAAGTATTCGACAATTGAGGATGCCTCAACCTCACTTACATGGCAAAACACAATGTAAGTGTTGTTTCAGTGAGGCTGTATTACCTCTATGGTTGGGCAGCCCATTTGAGCCAAGCATGGCTCTCCTACACTTGTTTGTTTATGTTTGTTTTCGTTGATTCTATTTTATTGATAACAAGTTTAGTTTATGTAGTCCAAATTAATAATCAACCTATAATAACTATCGTGAGACATACTAAATTAACTAAAAATCGCGGGTTACTCACGTGTATATTATATTGAGAAAAGCTCTACTAGTTTTGAACCACAGGTAGGCTGCACGACGTCGCCGCGTCCGCGCACGCTGCTCATGTGGAAGAACCCCTCTGTGGTTCGATATTAACTGTTACTCAAATACCTTCTCGTTCATTTTCAGGATGAGTACAGTTATCAACAATATGTACAAATATTTAAAACCTGGAGGCTTGGTAGTATTCCGTGATTACGGACGTTATGACTTGGCGCAGCTCCGTTTCAAAAAAGGTAGATGTATATCTGATAACTTCTATGCACGTGGTGACAACACCAGAGTGTACTTCTTCACACAAGAAGAAATAACGAAATTATTCCAAGATGCTGGATTTAAAGAAGAACAAAATCTTATTGACAGGAGACTTCAAGTAAACAGAGGGAAAATGCTTAAGATGTACAGAGTGTGGATACAAGGGAAATATAGAAAGCCTTTATAACACTTACAATATTTATTTGTTTCAAAAATACAAAAGTATGTATTTTGATTTATAACAAATTATGATAAGTATATCTATCTAATAATGGATTTTTTTAATACTTTACCACATTTACTGAAATAATTATTAATTTCGAACACTTGAATGGTACTTTTGGAAGTCACTTAGAATAGAAATAGTATAAACTGCCATCCACCTAGTATATTTACATAAATATTTCTAATAGATATAATATCCTAAAATATTAAAATATTACAAAAATAAAACCCAAAAAAACTTTATATAGTAGTGTAGTAGGTAACCATAGACTCAATGTAACAGCTTGACTAGATTCTTTCGTAAACATGATATTAATTAGAAAATTTCAAAAAAATCCTAGTATTTTTATCAATCAGTCAAATTTTGTTTTTGAATAACTTTGTAAACTGATTATTATGTAGGTAATTCGGATATTATCTGTATTATCTATGGTAGAATGTATAATAGTAAAATTGACAATTATTTAATGTTCTTAAATCTAAAGTTATAAGGCTCAACAAATGTATTACCGACTTTTGTCACAACTTTTATTGGTGGTCCTTCCCAAGTTACTTCAAACTCATCAAACAACTTCTTTATTAGAGTTTCAATCTCTAGTTCGGCAATCCTACGTCCAATACAGCTACGGATACCGAAACCAAATGGTAATGTCACGATCGCAGGTGCATTCCCATAGTATAAAGGATCAGTCTTATCTGCCAACCATCTCTCGGGAATAAACTCTTCAGCCCTGGGGTAATATTTTTCCAATCTCGACAAGTATTCATTTGGGGCTATTACATCCACCTGAAAAATAAGTCATGGCTTTTAATCTTTAATCTATACTTATAATATTATAAAGCTGAAAAGTTTGTTTATTTGAACGCGCTAATAATCTCTGGAATTACTTGTTAGAATTGAACAATTCCTTTTTGTAATTAGTCCATTTATTAAGATTAGCTTATGGGCTATAAAAGATCACGTTATAATCTGTAGGAGCTGAGTAGCGGGTGATACCGCGTGAGAGTAGCTAGTGTCTTATAAAATTACATCATCATCCCGTTTCCATCGAGAGCTGGTTATTGTCATCATCATCATGCCCCTTTTCCAATAACATAAGCCAGTCCAGCAACGCTCATATGAGCTTGCTGCCTAGGACCTGCCAGTCCTTGCTGATATTGTTACTCCACACAGCTAGAGGGCGCCCTGTTTGCCTAGGGCTGTATATAAATAAGCGTTCCCAGTAAGAGCTTTCCCTGCTGAGTTTGATTTTTAGTTCTTCACATCGAATCAATGCTAGCCACTATGCACACATGGCATCAGATATGCTCCAAGAAACACCACTTAACCGCTAGTCTGCCGGTATATGAGACACAATAGAAAACACATTGTGTCTCGCGTATATCTGCGCTCCGGCATACCACGGGTCAAGATGGATAGTTAGGGGGTGTATTCTTACTTTATGATGAATTTTTTTAGCTAATCCCTTTACTTACCCCTGCAGGAATATGATAACCAGCCACATAGTGATCTCTATCTGTCCTCCTCAAATTGGACGGGATGACATGCCACATTCTAAGCGCTTCTTTCAAACACGCTCGCAGATAACGTTTATGTGAGTCAGGTGAACGAATTTCTTCTCGAAGTTTCTGTTGTTTTTCCGGATGTCTCGCTAAATTGTAAATGATACTGGTAGCTACAAAAGAAACCTAAAAATAAAAGTGCAAATAAGACTTCTTTAATGACAGAATTGGTCCCCTACGTTATTGTGAATGATCTGCATCAAAAACGGAATAAAACTTAAATATGATCAGTTAATTATCAAATCGACGTAAAATTTAGAAATCCGTAATTGCATGATTTCTTGAGAAATGCGGATTTGTTGTGAAAAAAACATCCGATAATACCATAAAGACCCATATTACACAACACTAGCTAATTATGATTTATGATCTCATGATGTATGTATTGAGACAAAAATATTTTTTTCTTATCATTTCAACTTACTGTATCTATGCCAGCAAACAGCATTTCATTGGCCATCAAAATGGCAACCTTCTCGTCAATAGCCAATAATCTTTCAACAACACTCTTCTCTTCCTCAGGAATGTCGTATCCTCTTTCGTTAATTCGCTTTCTTGCTTCTTCTATGTACTTTGTACTTATTCTAGAAGTAAGTAAAATTGTGAGATTATAGAACATAGACAGCTCAAATAGGACTACCTAGGTACCTATTATTCGGAATTTGAGATACCAAGCTGTATATTTGTATAACCCTTTGTTTTGACACCCTAAATGGATATTCGCAGAAAATGTAGACCTTTGACCTACGTAATTTTTGACAGACGCGGACGCACTTAACAGTAGATATGTAGGTTTTGAGACAAGTTTTAGGATGTCAATATGTCACAACAAAAGTTTATACAAATATACAGCTATCTCAAATTCCGAGGTGAAAGTACTATGAGCTTGATAGATGGCTAGACTAGGTATATTAGCTCCTTTTACTTACTCCCATTGCTTGTCATATGTTCTTATTATCTTTTTATAAGCAGGTGTCGCTATGTATTTCCACATACTGGGAAGAAATTCCAATTTAAAAGCCAAGTCCATTATATCCTTGCTACATTGTAGAAGTGTAAATCCTGGATGGTCCTTAGTGACGTCATCTCCAAGGCACCCTAATCTAGATCCCAATGCGACGTAGGCCACAGACTCTAATGACCATTTCGTAATTTCAAGATCAAAGTTCTTTTCCAAGTATTTTGTGTCATCTTTGTATCGCCTTATCCTTTAACAAAAGTTAAGTTCAAGCAGTATTGAAGAGTACCTAAGTTAAAACATAAAATTGTAACATGGTTTCTTTTCCTTTCCTGCTTACCTCTGCACCAAATCTTGAGCAATCTCTTCAAGCGGTGGGGCATACACTTTCACTAATTTCAGTTTTAACAAAGCTGGATTGACTTTAGTGCGAAAATCGCGCCATTTCTCACCTTGCCTGCAAAATTCAATCACTATGATGGATGCCCGCGAAATTCAATTTTTCTTAACGTTTATTAAATTAACGTGCGGTTTCTGAAAGGATTGTAAACGCTAAAATTAACTAATCTCCTGTTAAATCTCTTGTCAAGTCATCTGATTGGTTGTTGATAATTCAGTCAACCAATCAGATGACTTGACAAGAGATTAAATTGATTTTACACATTGATCGGCCTTTCGGAAACCGGGTGTTACTGTCCAAGATCGTAGGTATAGAATGTGGAGAAAAAAATTTCTTGTTGAAATTTCAATACCACTTTCTATCCCATTTATATAATTTCACAATTTAAAAGATGATTTTTAAAGATTTTAGTCGACACAGTAAAGTTACAGAGTTTCAAGAATTACATGGTAAGTATGTAAATATATGTCATCCGCCTGCTTCATGACATTCCAACGGAAAAAATCTTGGTCTACCTTGCAATTGCAACATACTCGTATAACAACAGAGCCAAGAAAGGATAATTTGATATAGGAAATTACGCGGTTGTTAGTCCGTATATTCCATCCAGAGATCCCTTTTTGATCACTTCTCTGTAATACTCAAGAGTCTGAAACCCTGGTCGTAATGGATTTGCTTCCTGACTCCTGAAGACCTACAAAAACACTTTAATTACATATTACTTAAAGATTTTGAAAGTTCACTACATAATTTAAAATACCCACCTGATCTATGTGTTCTGGCTCATACAGAATAACTAAGTCAGATCTTGCAAAAACTCCTTGTAATTTTACTATAGACCCATACTTTTCATGTAGAGTAGACATCATGTCGAATATGTTAACTCCTGGTCCAAATTGTCCTGTAGGTAAATACAGAGAGATTTAAAAAAATACCACAACAGACTTACTTTAAGTATGTATCACCTACATTCTAAGTATTTATCCATATTTCTAAGAAGCGCCGTGAAAGGATAGGTAACATAATTTATTTTTTAATGAATAGCATTGAATTATTCGTAATTAATATTTGGCGAAAATTCAGGTAATCGAACAAAATTTCATAAATAGTGGTGTAAAAAATTCAAACCATGCAGTACCTATCTATATAACATTTTTTACAGTAGGTATGTAAGTAGCAGATACGGGAACATATCCGTGTTTCATAGTGTCCCGCGAAGACTTATGTCATATTCGATTCAATGCTGTCCCGTGGAACTGAAAGAGTCATGGTGGCCCGGAGGTTAAGGTGCCAGCTTTTAGTTCATGAGGATCCGGGTTCGAAATCTGGCAAGTACCTACCTACCAATATGACTTTTTTTCGAGATATATGTAGGTACCTACTTTTAAGGATTAATAAGACACGACAAGAAGGAAAACATCGCGAGAAAGCCTGGACTTATATAATTTCTAATTAATAGTTTGAAATTGCCAATCGGCCTTGAGCATGCGTGGTGATTAATCTGATGGCTCAAACCTTCTACGTGTAAGAAGAGGCATTTGCTCAGCAGTAGGCACTTATAGGCTGATGATGATGATCTTGTCCCGTAGCGTATCGTTTCGCGCCAAAAGCCTATCGGATTCATACATTCACTATGGTTGAAGACCAACTTCCGTTGCTTTTTGTGTCACATCGCGTGCTGTCAAATGCATGAAAACGGGGCGTTCCATCGCGATACGACACCCCAAGCCACACAAGCGTGTCTCCAACCGAATACTCACCAATTACAGGTAAAAAGTGATGCAAGGGACCGAGAATCGGCAACGAAGAAAGTCCCGGTATCGAAGCATATGGTTTAACATGCGCAGGCGGCGCCGATGAATAACTTCGGCGAACATTTCTGTAATTATTATTTTTTTTTTGTTTATTTTATACTAATTTTTGAATTATTATATTATTACTATACTTATTGATGAAATTATCAAGCGCGATAGTTGTACAAGAGTACTAAACAAATAACTAGAATATTTCTTGCAGAAATACATAAATTTATTTATTACGAACTTTTGCCCCCGACTTCCTTCGCGTGGAATAATGACCTCCTGTAGATTTTTGGTATAAAAACTATCTTATGTTCTTTCTAGAGTTCTAAGTAGTTTAGGCGTGAAGAAAAGTCAGACAGACAGAGTTACTTTCGCATTTAATTTTAAAATATTAGTTTAGATTAAATAAGCTATATCTGTGCGTTAATTGGGTTTTCATATTTTCTAAACATAAAATAAAAATAAGTGAAAATTCAATATCATAATTACTAAGCACAATATATTATGCAGATCGTTCATACGTGATAAGATTATTACAAAACACGATGATACTTGTGATTAAAGGATGTCTTTTTTATACTTACTGATAAGACGAATTTGTCCTGACAAAAAACAACGTATAACACTCACTCAACGCTTTATTTCTCATCATCATTAATAAATATACTATTTTTTATACGCAAGTTCTTTGAATAACAAACTTCCCCGATGTAAATAGTCGAGCTACGACAGAATCGGATTGACCATGAAAAATGATTAGTTTGACCTTGATTCGTTAGATAATTTTGTCTACTGCAATCGAAACCTAAAATTGAAGTATTGTTAGTAGCTTATTCGGGTGTGTTACATTCTCCATCTCGATTCTCAATTTTTCAAACAGATTTTTTACATGATGCACACAGTCATCCCTTCAAGAACAGCAAGACTAATTATTTTTATTTCCTTTGTACCTATGTTAATATTATATTTCTATTTATATTTAAAATTACTTCCTACGACAACGGTTGTTTTTATTTCTAATCTTTTATAAAAGAGGGTAGTTATCTATCATTCATCAGCATAATTAATGAAATAGTTTTCTATAATTTTTAAATTGAACGATGTGAAATCATTTTTGATCTGTCAACACTAAATGAATAGTGTTGGCAAAGATCGATAGAATCGAGTATCGATATGAAATCGAAATGTATATAAATATACTTTTTACTGAGGTAAATAATTATTTTATTACCAAGTCTTAGAAATTTTACTGTCACCATAATTTATAATTAGTACTCACCTAAAAAAATATCAAGAGAACTAAGAATTCATGAAGCTGCTTCAAAATTCTGTATGCAGTTTCTTTTATTACTGGTATTCTGAAAATAATATTGGTGATGTACTAAAGGTTGTGCTGTATTGAACATTACTTTAAATATTTTGCATAGCATGTATTATATAGTATTAAAGAGTCGAGTGTACTCGACTATCGATATAGCCTGTAGCGGTACAACGCTACTGTTTGACAGTTCAAACCTTCAAACAAAATGTTTAGGTGATGGTGAGGTTAATGGTCGATACAAAATAGTTTAGATAAATATTTGGGTAGGGATTTCCATCCAAATATGAATAGGTCAACAATAAATTATCAAAACGCATTCTTAAAATAGTGCTACGTTTATTCTTCTTTCGATTATGTTAAACTGGTGTAAAGTCTATTGTAATGAAGTTTCTTTGTCATGAGAATAGTTTCGGTATAACACTATCGATCGATTACGAAAGAGCTTTTAAGTTTTACAGTTTTAAAAATATTTGTGGCTTATTATAATTTAAAGGAATCATTTATTTAATAAGTTATAGATGTGCTGAGTGGACTGTGTGAAAAATTAATGAGTGTGCGTAAATGTGAAGTTGCTAACGTGTTAATAAAATATGTGTTTACGTTCGCTTTTCGTTGTATTCACGCGTTCAATTTACTTAAAAAAGTCATAAAGCTAGTGCCGTCGTATGTAATATGAGATACGTAGTGTGAGCCTGAGGCATATCGCAATTTGTTCCTGATAGCACGTCCATGTATTGTTGCTCCTTTCTGTAAGTATCATTACAATATTCGCGATAATAACACTCTGTATGTTATTCAGCTATATATTACACACATAATAAAAGTTATAATCACAGTAATAAAAAATGATTTATGATGTAACATTCTGCATTGAGCTGTTTTTGTTTTGTTTTCGAAATTGCACTTTGTAACAGTCACGATTTTGCACTGCACTATAACAACATAACTGAAAGGAATTTGGTAAGGTCAATGAACTCTCTGTGATTGTGTAGGTGTGTTGTATTTTTACTGGTTTATTTAAGAGATATCACCTTATCTTTATCTTGGACTTGAGTTTCATCATTTGTAAATATAATTTAACCCAGTTTGGTACAATGTAGCTAGTTTATAATCTGTTTATGTTTCAACCCTAATAATCTTGATATAAAGTTCATTTATGATCAAATTCCTACTTAATGTTCTATAATGATTCTAAATTTAATTTATTCAAGACATTAATAAATGCAAATTGGATCATAATTTAATATGGTTACAACATAAATAATTTATAAATCAGCTGATTCTTAAATTGAGTTTTAATTTACTTTTGTAGCAAGGTCTAGGTTTTATAAACTTTCGTTCCCTCTTCTTTTCACTGTGTGTGTTAAGTGATAATCTTATTGTGGATACACTTAATTTTCTCTTTTAATAATGGTGTAAGTATCTTTCTATAAAACCTTTAGATACTGCCAGTGAGTGCCTCATGGCATTATGTGTCCTGTAAAATAGTTTTATTATAATCAACAAAACATTTACCTAGGTAGTTATTAAATTTAGCATCAAAACTTAATTCAAACAATTTTTATTTTTCATTATGTTTATTATAATGTACCCATATTTTTTATTATTTTAGGTATCACTTAGTGTGAGTGAATAGCTCATCTTTTTATCCTTAAAATTAAAAAGTTAGTATGATCTACAAACTAAAATTTGTTTGTAGTTTGAATCAGTTATGATGTTCTCAATTACAATGATGAATGTCAAAACGATTATATAATTAGTTCAATTGGAGACAATTACATGTAACCAGAGCAATCTGCACCGATTGGTGAATCATGAATTTTAATGTGTGCACTCTCATCTGATTGATAAGTAACCCAGTTACAATTATCAAATATATTGTAATTGCCATAATTTAGAAGTGTACCTTGTTGAAATTACAAATTATGTTAGGTTTCACAACCTAAATCTGAAGTTCAATCTCACTTTTTTTTAACAAATATTTATTCCTGTACAAGGTTCATGGTTGTTGTTGAAATATGCATTTTAAAATGCTAACATACCTACCACCTGTTTATCCATTTATAGTTCAAAATTGTGTCCAAATTTCTTTTACATGAAATAGTAAAAGAATTTATTTGTTCCAACTTGCAACAAACTGATGAAAACATTTCAAAAATGTGTCTATCATTTCTGGAGATAAGCATGTGAAAACAGACAAACATACATACATTTTTTTTTTTCATTCTGTATTTCTGTATTACTTATTTTATGGTTTCTTTTTTATTTCTCATTGGATTTATATTTAAATGAAAAATATGCAATGTGCTGACTGACTTTTTTTAAATTATACCTATTTATAGACAAATTTATTGTATCTAAATTCAAATTTAAACCTGAACAATTGATGACAGCCTTTAATTTTCTCATTGAATTGCTCACTAATACTAATCTCTGAATTTTTAATAATGTAAATTGGCAACAAGATTGACATACTACCTAAGTTCCGTGTTGTTTGTAGTGAAAAGATAACACATAATACAAGGCACCTTTAAATTTACTTACAGAATAGCCCTCTCTTATTTGCACTAAGGTCAGATAATTTGTACAAATAGCTACACTTCTTCCTTATTCCATTGTTATTCTATTCAATTTTCCTTATGAGCTTACAAACCTACTATGTTTAATCATTATTATTATTTCTGTAGTAAGCTTGCTTGTGCATCCACCTTACATAAAATGCTAAAAGCTCAAAACATATTTAATTTAAAAAATCATGACATTGTAAATTCTATAGCCAATCTGATTAGCCATAAATTTTGAAATGAGTGTATAGTGTTTATGTGTGTGTCTTTGTTTATTCAGTATTTTGATGTTTACCGGTTGTGTGTGTCAAACTTTTTTCATAATTTATTAATACATTAATTTGACTTCCTTTACACATATGTAGATAGTTTAAGGATATTGAAAACTATTATTTGGTTGTATTTTTTTTATTCTTGGCAGCTAAAATATGTAGAGGCAATGAATCCTTTAGGTGTAGCATAATGCACTTCAATATGTAATATTCATTAGTCATAGATTTCATTTTAATTTTTGGTCAATTTGTCACTTCACACTGCTGTATAAAGAGTTCATATATGGTATGTTATTTGCTAAAGTTGTTTCTTGTGTACCAGTTCACGGCTGGGCGTCGGGATGGCGAGCATGAGCTCCACGCTCGTCGAAACCGTCTCCATCAACTACGAGGACTTTAACGAGAGCTTCCTCACATGCGGCACCTGTTTATGTCAGTACACTGCTCACTTTTTAATTAAAGAAAGAGATATTACAACTTAAATTCTTCTATTACTTTTCAAAGTTTATTACAAACGAAATTCGTTACATCCTTGTTACTGAAGACTGATTAGATACAGCTACATTTATATTGTAAAGGCTAAACAATGCTATGCTATGCGTGGATAAATAGGGTCCTGTATTTGGAAAGTGTAATTTAAGTTATAATATCCCTTCCATCTTGTAAATAGTTTCCTGATAAAAGAGTTTATATGTTGAGTTCCTAATATAGTATTCACATAGAGAAAATCCTTATCCTGTCATAGAATACTTTTTCAATATCATTTCATCGAAGTACTTCACTCAACTCAACATGTAAACCTACTTATTGAATTGTATTTGCTATTTCTATAGTATCTGCTAACACTTGGCATGTTTACAGTAGAAGCAGTGTGTTAAATGTTTTCATTATGAGTACCTTGTTAGTCATTGCTTTATTTCTGTTAATGACTAAATAATCTATATGCTAGTTATTTGTTTATACACATATGGCCATGGTTGGGCTGTTCAAACTTGACGAGGTAGTGTTAACAACTAATTAAGTTCTGTATTCATTAGCTTGCCAAATATTTGATAATAACCCTTAGTAGTTAAGTTTATTCATCACATATTGCACTATATTCATCTGTCTCTGTAACACGTTTATGTTACTTCCAGGCACTTATGATGGTGGCGAGCACACACCCAAGCTCCTGCCGTGCTCCCATACAGTCTGCCTCCACTGCCTCACACGAATAGCTGCTTCACAAACCAGAGACGCGGGCAGTTTCCGATGTCCCATTTGTCGCGAGCTGATTACAATACCACGGGGCGGGGTGGCCGCACTCCCGCCCTCGTTTCTCGTCAATCAACTCCTCGACTTGATGGCCCGTCAACGTCGGGAAGTGATACCGCAGTGTAGTTCGCATCCAGGCAGAGAGTTGCTTTTCTGTGAGACCTGTGATTGCGTATTCTGTCGACATTGCGCCGACGGGCCACACAGCGATACCCCCTGCGACCATACAGTTGTGCCATTCTCCATAGCGTTGAAAAGAATGTCTGAAATACTGCTATATAGGGCGAACGAATGTCTCAGTAAACTCGGCTCCGCAAGAGATGCAGTGGCCAGTGAACTGCGACGGCTCGAAGCGGCCGCGACTGCAGCGGACGAGGCAATAGACCGGCACTTCGCGGAACTGAAGGCTGCTATCGATAAACGTCACAGTGAACTCAAGTCAGCCGCCGCAGCTGCAGCGACACATAAACGAAAGTTGCTTGAAGAACAACTCAAGTTGATCGATGCGGAAAAAGCTAAGGTAAAGCAATAACGCATTAAGGTGTAAACAGTGGTTGTGGTTATGTAACTAAATGATATCTATGGAATAAAATTGTTGCTGTCACCATCTTATATAAACATTCTGACGCGACAGCATCATAATTATTCCCCATGAAACTTTTAGCGAACATTGAAAAATCAGCCCTAAGCGAAATTAAAAAATTTTGTCTTTCGACTGTACTTTGACGAAAATCAATACTTCTGCTTGGATTTTCATAACTCCGTTGTTCATTTTAATTGCCTGAACCATGCAATGTCGTCTTTTCCCTTTTTAGACATAAGGTAATGTAAAATCGTAATTTTGTACAGGTGGAAGCAGAATGTTCAGGTCTCCAGCAGCAAGTAGAAGTTCGTGAGGTGAGCAGTCGTGCTGCGGCACTGGGTGCCAGGTTAGGGGACGCGGCAGCTCTGGCTGAACCACGAGAGAATGCTTTCCTCGCTGTAGACTTCGCCCACAATGACGCTCAGCAAAGATTCTCCGAAGCTTTGGCAGAGTTAGGCAGGGTGCGCACTAGCACCACCTTCCCTGGACTTTGTACACTACAATTAGGTAAGTCCTATTTAGTGTAAGTTACTAATTATATATGTATTTTAATGAAAGCGATTAAAGTAAAATCTATATCTGCATCATCCAATAAATGCCTGTTGTCACACGGAGAAGCTTTGACCATTAATCAAAAAGCTTGCTCCCAGCAGATTGGCGATTTCCTACTTAGATTTACAAAAATATAAGTCCAGTCACCACGTTTTCGTTTACCGTTTGCCAGTGGCGTCTAAATACACTTATAAAATATATATAACATAGAAAAGGTGACATTGGAATTTGCCAGATTTCGAAACCTAAAGGTTAAACGTTGTCCTCCTGTATGAAAAGCGAGCGAGCTTGAACCTCCAGGACACCAAGACTTCTGCACATTTTCAGCCAAATCCGATCAGCTTTTATAGACGTAATTGAGTAACAACAGAAAGAAAAATGGTAGAGATGATGGAATGGGAAAGAGCGATGCAATAAGTGTCATTGTTTTATGAGACATGCATTAAAGTAAATCTTTTAAATGTAGAGCAAAAATATTCAAACTTTAGCATTTATTATATTATTAGTCTGAGTACGTTTAATTGTATTAAAGCTGAATATAGGTAAATGACTTGACTGTTTACGTGAGGTTTAATAAACAAAATCTATGCGTGTCGCGGCAACATTACGTCTGCATGGACATGCGATGTATTTAGATTCGGTAGACGAATATACATATACATTTTATGTTGGTACTCAATTTTGTTAAAAGGATTTTCCCTGTAAGTTTATTACTTTGACTGAGTCTTTGAAAATGGCGGTAACGCCCGCAGCTTATACAAGTGCTAGAACCAATGTGTCTTTTACCGATTTATATGTATGTATGTATGTACTTGCTATTATTATTCATATCATCATCATCATCATCAGCCGGAAGACGTCCACTGCTGGACAAAGGCCCTCTCCCCCTTAGCTCTCCACGTCGAACGACAAGTTGCCACCTGCATCCATTGGCTCCCCGCGACTCTGACGATGTCGTCGGTCCACCTAGCGGGAGGCCTGCCCACACTACGTTTTCCGGTCCTTGGTCGCCACTCTAGGACTTTTCGGGCCCATCGACCGTCTGTCTTTCGAGCGACGTGGCCTGCCCATTTATTGTATTATTCTATTATTCATATACTAACATATTATTAAGGTAAAGGATAAACGTCGTAATGCAACCTGAACTCATAATTTCGAAACACAAGCACACGTGGCAAGTGTCCTTTCCTTTCTTCTTCACCATGTGAGAAGAGATCTTAGCAGTGGGCACTTGCTGCTAATGATTACGAAGACGTATAGTTTGTGTTTTACGTCCTACTCATTGATCCAAAATAACAAAAAACTCACTTCTCGCTTACAGAATCGGCGTGTGTATGTGGTTTGGAAGTGGTAGTGGTTCTGCGCACAGTTGATTACCACGGCGAGGCGCGTTGCACCGGCGGGGACCCTGTCAGCGCCGCCGCGACCATTGACGACGCACCCCTGCCCTGCACCGTCACTGATCTTGACACCGGATTGTATAGGTACGTAAAAATAATATTATTAAAAATAATTAAGTGCACAACATAAGATGTGAACTCTTTTTTAATTTTCACATTTTACTTGGCTATGACCTCGACATAGATATTAAGAATGACCTTGACTTCGAATTTAAAGATGTGCTTGACTTTAAATATGACCTTGGCTTTGAATTAAAAGATGAACTTGACTTTAAATTTGAGCTTGACTTTGACTTTAAAGATGATCTTGACTTTAAATTTGTCCTTGACTTTGAATTAAAAGATGATCTTGAATTTAAAACATACAATGATGATAATATGACCTTGACTTTGACTTTAAACATGACCTTGAATTATACTTTAACTTTGTCAATTATTACTGCTAAAAGTCTCAAAAAGAGACGAGCTTTTTAAAATTTACTGAGCATTATCCCATTATGTTTTATATTGTGTATTTTATAAACATTTCTCTATACACGAGGCAGGCCCTTAAAAACGAAAAAACATGAATATTATTTGTGCAGTGGTTGGAAATTTTGCTTATTTAATGCCGACAATAACAAAAATATATACTTACATTCGAACCGTCAGTCCATGAATCAGTTGCATTCCTGTCGTTGAATAATCGGGATTCTGTTGCGACATTATAATGAAAATCTTCATAGCTATAGAGGTGTTTAAAAAGACGTACAGCCAAAATTTGTAAGCATAGGAATATTGGTAGTTTCGTCATCATTTTCATCATCAGCTTCATTTCGTTCACTGCTGGACATTGGTCTCCCCAATTGCACGCAACTGAGCTCGTTGTTCAGCTCCTCTCATTCAACCACTGCCAGCTAAGATTAGTAGTTTATTATAGCAAAAATTTTATTAAACAAATGGACGAGAAGAACATATTTGTGGATTATTGTATATGGTACGCAGACCGAACTTTAAAGTGTGGGAGAGCCATGCTTCGGCACGAATGGGTCGGTTCGACCGGAGTGATACCACGGCCTCACAGAAAACCGTGAAACAACCACAGCGTTGTGTTTCGCCGTGTGAGTGAGGTTACCGGAGGCCCAATCCTTCCCCTTCCCGGACCCTTCCCCAATCCCTAAATCTCCAAATCCCTAATCACTAAAAGGTCGGCAACGCACTCGTAACTCCTCCGTTGCGGGTGTCCATGGGCGGCGCTGATTGCTTACCATCAGGTAATCCGTATGCTCGTTTGCCGACTTATTACATAAAAAAAACTTATTAATCATCTTTGTAATGGTTTTTAGTTTTAAAACCAGTTTCAACATGGAACTATCCGTAATAAAACTATGGGTTCGTGCATAACAAATCTGTGACCTTGTGAAAAGTATTAAAAAAATTTTTTTTCACTTGTTTATGTTCGTGAGAGATTTGTTTACGGCAGCTTATCGTTTCGCTGACAGGCGAATTTCAGGTTTGGCCGTCTATTTTTGTATTAGCTCTGGGTTATTATTCATGTACTGAATATACTGCGAGGTCGACGTAAGACGACCTCTTTCCAATTCTGTTATGTGAATAAAATTATGAACAATGCTCATGAAGTCTGGAGTGTTTGGAGTATATCTATGTTTTGTTTGATGGTTTATGATTTTTGGTAGATTATTTATTTCTATTTATAAGATATTTATTATACAGCTTCTTGTTTTGAAATAATATATGAAGAACTTTAAATTATCTCTATCATGTACATATACAAAAGTTTTTATATTTTACAACGCACATCTACAACGAATCTAAATATTGTCATCGTCTAAGAAGTCAATATAGGGAACAAAAGTTGACTTGTTTTACACTTAATACAATTAAAGTTTTTTATTACATTTTATAGAGAAGCTGTAAACAACTTTTAGATGCGATTGAACTTATTTAAGTAAAAATTAAGTGCCAGAACCAATATGTAATATTGGCAGGAAGATTTTATGATAGGCTAAATACTTCCTGAAGATCCGAATTCATCCCCAAAGTATTCAAGAAAAAAAAAATAAGGTCTTCAAAAATAAAAAATTAAAATGCAGTAACTATTATTATTATTATTCATTCATTTCCATTATCCGCAGAATCACAATGCGTCCTTGGACGGCGGGCGCGCTATGCGTCCGCGTGCTAGTATTTGCGCGCGGCGTGCGGGACTCTCCGCTTCGTGCGCAGGTGGCCCCCACCGCCGCCCCACTACTTGTCTGGGGCTCCAGGGGAACTGGGAAGGAACAGCTCAGCCAACCTGTTGCACTGGCTAGGTAATGTTAAATAAATTAGATTATACGACTTAACTTGAGTGGTTTCGAGGCATGCCAGGGAGTCTTGAACAGTATGCGCGATTACCGACACAGCTAGTCAGCAACGGCTAGTATATACAACTTCCAACAGTAAATTATTTTATACAACTATTTGTATCAATGTTGTATCTTACGGAATATTCTATAGGACTAGAAATGTATCGCGTATGGCCTACAATGCACACAGTAAATAACAATGGGTGGGCCAAGAGGTAGTGCCAGACGTTTACTGACTAGAAATCACTAAGCTCCTTCTCCTGGAAATATGTCGTAAGGGATCCCGTGTGTATGTGTGCGTGGAATGCGACGCGCCATACCTTTGGATCTGGATCAAATCAAGGGGCGAGTTTCCCTTGATCGCCGTCCGCAGATCCGTGCATACACAGTAATATTGTACCACTATTTCCGACTGGTATTCTGTGAGAGGGTTATACTTCCTTTGTTGAGCTAGCATACATCGACTTGAATCATACAATTATATCGAATAATCCGATGTTGGTTAAATATACATAACTCAATTAGAATTGTATATTATTGTTATTTTTCTTAATCTCTATTGATATATGTGTATATTATATATTATATATATAGAATTGTATATTGTACTCGGTAGATAAAGAGCTTGCTTTTAAGATACAAAAGCGATGTATCCGTGCTATGTTTGGTCTACAAGACACAGATAGTTGCAAACCGCTGTTTTTAAAATATAATATTTTAACATTACCTATTCTTTATATATTTTAGAAATTTGTCTTTTTGTCAAGAAGAATCCGCAATTGTTCCCTCTTCAGTCAAGTGTATCTCAACGTAATAGACGTAAATATGATAGACTTTGTTTACACAACGCCAAAACTACCCTCATGTGGAGAAGTGTATTCTGTATGGCTCCTAAAATTTATAACAAAGTACCAGATGCATATAAACAATTAAATATTAACCAATTTAAAAAGAAAATTAAGGAACTTTTATGTAGAAGAGTTTATTATTGGGTAGATGATTTCCTAAAAGATGATATTTAGAATTTGTAACCAGTTGACATTTAGACTGTTTGACATGTAATTCATTCTTTGACTTATGATTTTATTTGTTAATTATTTGGGTACATTTCATTTTTTTTTATTTTTATTTCGACTTTGACATTTAATTTTTTTTTTCTATCCAATACTTAATCATTTTATTGTATGTAGATTTTGGTAATGTCTGCCTAAAGTGACTAATTTAGTACGCCATAAATGGCAAAACATGTAGACTCTGTATATACCAAAAACACCTTTATTGTAATTACTCATGTTTTACTAAATAAATATATCTTATATATCTTATCTTATTATTTCGACAGATGTCCGAAACGGCGTGAGATCTACGTACTAGACGCGGGTAACTCGAGAGTCAAGGTGCTGGATGATGAGACGTTCGCATTCAAAACGCATATCGTTAATGAAGGTATAGCAATATTTACTTACTAGCTTTTGCGCGCGACTCCGTTCGCGTGCTGTAGTGACTTCCTGCAGATTTTTGGTATAAAAACAATCCTCGGTGTCTCGAGTTCCAAACTATGTCTGTGCCAAATTTAGTTACCAGTAGTTTAGGCGTGAAGAAAAGACAGACCAACAGACAGACTTCTTAAAGTTACTTTCGCATTTATAATATTCGTATAGATTAAATCTAGGACTGGACATGTTAGCGTTGTGTTTCGCAGTTTGAGTCTTGTGAACCTGTGTATCCCCCCCCCCCCCTCCCTTAAATCCCGAACGACCCACAAAATACCTACAACGCTTTTCTTCTTCAACTTTGTGGTCCATGGGTGGCATTACTTATCATCAGTAGCTGGTTTGCAGCCCTTCCTTATAAATAAAATAAAGCGATTCCTCAATCGATGTTGACACTATTATTTTTATACCATAGGTTTTATAATAAACTTGACTAAATGGAAAATGAGACAATGAACAATAAATTATTTATATTTTCTGTTTGGCATCATTTCACAATTTTTCAGATTTTACCACCTTTAATGTCTGTTCATTACTGATCTTATTCAAATTTAATTTAATTTATTTTTTATTAAACTTTGATGTTTTATTTTAATATGTTAAAAAAAGCAATGACAGAAAAATATATTAATGCATGGCAACATTATGTGCCAATGACAGAAAAGCAGAGAAAAACTTGAAGAAGGCTTTACCCAAAGCAGAGGTACATAGCAAATGAACTGACACAATTATTGACAACTAAGATTACAGTTTTTTTATGTGATATGACAGCATACATACAGACGGATTACTTGATGGCAAGCAATCGGCGCCACCCATGGACACCCTTAACACCAAAGGAGCTGAATTACTAGTGCGTTGCTGGCTTTTTTGGGATTAGGGTACCGGCGATCTAGGGATTGAAGAACAATGGGGACCAACAGTAACCAAACAAGATAAAAAAAAACATAATGTAAAATAATATAGTCAATATGAAGTTATTTTCCATGTTGTATGGTTTCAGGGTTAGCAGGTCGGAGTTGTACAGGGATAGCGGTTACTGCTGAGGGGATAGTGGCCGTCAACTGGCGAACACGAACTCTCACTGAGGTAAACTAAATTTTATAACTTTTCTAGCTTTACCTGTGGATTTTTCATAATGAAAAGTAGTAGCCTATAATAATATGTTTAAAGATATAAACTACATCTAACAAAATTTCAATTATGTTTTTACTTAAAAAACGTTGCCCCACACTAGTATTTTTTTATGTTTTCACGAGTTTGTTTATAAAAATACAATTTCACATACACATCACACCCAGACTCGGAACAACAATTTGTGGATTACACAAAGAGTTGTTCCATGCGGGAATCGAACCCACGAGATTTTGACAGTAAAAATAAGTTTCATTTAGCTCTAAAACTAATTATAACAAGGCAGCAAAAACACATTTTTATTTAACATATCTCGAATTTAATTTAGGTACCTTTTATTCACAAGCACAAAGTAAATACAAAACTATATTAACTAAACAATTGCCAAATATTTCTTTAGTTCCTTTGAGATGGCGCCACTAGCGTTTAAAGTCTTGCAGGAGACCAATATTCTTTACAAAACCACAAGTCGTATAACTATATTTTGTCTGCTATTTGCAGGTGAGTGGTGAGGGTGCGACCCTCCGTACGATCAGGTCAGACAGGTTGCAGGAGCCAGTATGCGTGGCTGCAGACCTGGCCTCGCGCCGCCTCGCTGTCGCAGACAACGGCGCGCGGGCTGTCTTCCTCTTTGATAGCCATGGAAATATTGAGAGAGAGGTAAGAATTCTACTATTATTTACACATTTAAAATTTAATGTAAACAAACTGTTAAAGGGTACTTAATTAGGTTGGCCTCTTGATATCGTTCGCCGCGCACACAACTTATTTTTATAAACCAAGGTTTGAAACTATTCGAGCGTCCAAAAATGATAATTATAAAATTTTGTGTGCCAAGAATTAAAAAATATTAACCGAATGAAATAATCACCGTGACAAGTTTTAAATCTTTAATTTAAAACACGATAATTTGAAAATTAGCAACCGTTTAATCACGCATCATCAGCTTTTAAGTACCCAAAACTGAGAAAAGACCTCTTCTGACACGAAAAAGGACCTCCACTCTCTACTCAAAAGGAATCACCACTCTTGCTTAATCCCTTATCAGTATCCCCTTAGCAGTAACCGATATCCCTCCTCACAACCTCCTCCTCCTCACAACTCCGACCTGCTAACCCTGAAACCATACAACATGGCGTTTAATTTCATATTGACTATATTTTTTCACATAATGTTCTTTTTTAACTTGTAAGTGTGGGAGAGCCATGCTTCGGCACGAATAAGTCGGCTCGACCGGAGTGATACCACGGCCTCACAGAAAACCGGCGTGAAACAACCATAGCGTTGTGTCGCCGTGTGAGTGAGGTTACCGGAGGCCCAATCTTTCCCCTCCCTGGATCCCTCCCCAATCCCTTAATCTCCAAAACCCTGATCCCTAAATTGTCGGCAACGCACTCGTAACTCATCCGTCACTTCAACTTATAATTACAAATTATAAGTTGAAGTTTCGTCACAGAATGTTTTACTTTGAAAATACCCGGAAAAGGTCATATTGGTTCTTGCCAGGTTCCGATTCCACCACCCCATGCATGATGCCCCGCTTGGGCCTTAACCTTCGGGCCACCACGACGTTTTAAAACAAAACTATTATTATTCTTTTCAGGTGGGCAACGGAGAGTTGGGCTTAGTCGGCGGAATCGCGCTGTCTGAAGACTTGCTGATCATAGCGGACGTCGCCATCAGGGTCTATGATATTGAAGGCAATCTTAAGAATGTTTTCGCACCGGTGCCAAAAGGTACGTCAATTAGTACAATTTCAAATTGTCCGCATAATGGATCGTTCTTTCATTTAGCCGTAGAAGAAAAATTTTCAATAATGGGATAACGGATCCACAGTTATACGCATATTCAAACAAGTAAACGGCCTTAACATTAAAAACCTACATTTTTTCCTTCAGGTCGTGGTGGATACGGCGGTATAGCGCTAGCGACATCTAGTGAGGGCGGGACGCGACACGTAGTATGCGCCCGCGCAGTGCGAGGCCGGCCTGCACTATTAGTATTGGAGCCTGGCGCAGGAAAAGTGCTAGCTCTGTCAGAGCTGGCCGATAAAAAGCCTCGCCGCGTGGCCGGACTTACGCTACTGCCTAATCGAAGGGCCCTACTCGCCGACCTAGCTGCAGACTGCTTGAGGTTACATACTTACTGGTGAAACCTGGGCGAATCCTTATGGGTATGTAATAGAGTTTTAAAGATATATTTTCGGCCCGAAATTAATATCAATCCAAAATCTTGAGGACCTTTTAGATAGACTTTTTTGATAGATAGATATTTAATAGGATTCGTGTCATAATTCGGCGACAAGGATTTCAATTCAATCCTCGACTTCTTGATTCTTAGAACTTAGTAAATAAAAATAGAAAATATTGTTTACTAAGAGATGTGATTTAAGACAAACCCTGACCCTCAAGAGATCCCTGCTTCAGAGATCAGCGGAGCAAGGCAATATCTAAAAAATAAGTTACAACATATATTATTTGCAGGTGACGCGTATCGAGATGGGAGCGGGGCGGGCGCAGGAGCGCGACGTAATCGAATTTCATGCTAGTCCAATATTATAACGGAGAATCGAACTGTTGGCCATACACACGGACTGCGAGGGGGAGATACTTGCACCAAAGTCTTTAGTCGGCCCGCGACGGCCACTGCGTTATCAATAACTATATTTTAGTACTTACAGTATTTATTTCGTATTAAGTTGATTAAGTTATTTTCTAAAAACGTTTACTTTGTCGATTAGTTCGACGCCTATACGGAATTTGACAATATTATGACTGATTTTGATTTTTACGTGTAATATTTTCTCGATTTACTTACTTTTCGCTGGTCTAAGAACGTCAAATCGTGACTTTTTATGATAAAATTATTATTATTATTATTGATTAGTAATTATATTTGCAGTTAAGTGTAACTTGGTTGATCTACTGTGCAATCGGCGATGTTTTTGAATTAGTCTTTAAATTCTTGTCAGTGATAGTGATCACTTTATTTATTTGTATTGTATGCATCAAACTTGTTAGCGATTCTAAAGTTCGCTTTAACTAGTCGTAAGACGAACGCATTTATTTTAAGACTAACATTAGTTAGTATTCTTTCTCTTGGAAAAAAGAAATGATCTTTATGGTCACATAATAATATTGAATACAGACAATATTTATGATATATTATCTATTTAGGATGTTGCCTTTACTAATGATACGAAATAGTGAAAAATTAAATTCAAAATTGATCAGTTTTCGCGGTACATATCCAGTAGCCTTGTTTGGTACGCTTAGTGATAGTGCGTTGTTATTAGTTGGACAATGTCGTTTCGTTGGTTTGTCCAAACTACTTAGACAGTCATTTAGCCTACTCTTTAAGTCTGCGACCAGATATTTCCCTAAACGACTGAAGTTTGAATTAACAATTTACTTGAATCTTCACGGGAAGGTATATGCTAAATTATATACTTCTGCTTACACCTCCATGTTATAAAATGTCGACAATATCTGGCCGCACCCAGTTAAATACCATAGTACGCGTTATATATAAAGTTCATAAGTAATAGCTACATATGTGATCATTTACAAATAAGAATCTTAATGTTAATAACTACGCATTATAATGACCGTTTTACTAAAAAAATAATATTGATTAATACACCCAATGATACTTAGCGATAACACAAATAGATATTATACTTAATTTCTTTATTTATTTTTATAGTGAAACGGTTCAAGTTGAAAATTACAAATCATATCTGCCTATTACGAATAAGTTAGTTGTTTCTCATTTTAAATTTCTTGAGGTATCGATGCCATATTTTGATTAATTATTATACTTACTTAATTAAAAAATTAACGTGTGCTATTTACAAAATTAGTTGCGAACAAATTAATAAATTAATAGCATATTACATTTCCTTGACGTTAATATTGATTGCTCAATAAAAGTATGTATGAATGATAATATCATATCATACGATCAAAGAAAATTCTCTCATAAATCACTGAGTTGTTAAGACTGGGGTTGCATCACGATTGATGTTTCAGAAGTCATAACAAACCAAGAACGAATTATGAACGTTGATCAGTAACATTGGCGTCGGAAGAGAGGTACTGCCTTCATAATCGCGAACGATCAAAGAACGATTCAAAAAAAATGTCCACTGAAATCAATCTTAACACATTTTTTCTAAGGGCGATGATAACTTAAATAATGTTTTCTCAGGGAGTGCCAAACTCCTGGCTGGTCACGGAAGGTGCATTTTACCACAAACCCGGTTAGGCATTGGGCCCTAGTCCATCCAGTAGGGTTCCATCTGTGGTGGTCTGATGACTTTCGATAGTCGGGTGGATAGCAAATCTTACTTGCCATCTGCAGGCTCGAAGCGCTGAAAGCGGCACGAAAACGTCGCGAATGATAAAAAAATCCTCAGATTGACATTACTTTGATGAGGTTTCTGTTCCTAGATTCATCTAGTTATTTCAGATCGGTTATTAATTTCTGACGTGATACAGGCACCCTAGGTCTCCGCAACTACTTAATTCAATCTATCCTGATTAAACTAGTTTTAAGTAACAATCTCTTCGCTATAGTTTAGTAACGTTGACTGTTTATTATTGAAGCTATCGTTATTAACTAACAACTAATTAAAATCTTAAAATTATATCTCATTTAGTTGGTCTTTGTATGTAATGATATAGCTTATGATATTCAGAGTTGTAATGAGTGAAAATTAACAAATCAGAATGAATGGAAACTGTTGATTTAAAATTTCTCAATAGTGAATATGTACGTTATTTAAATTCTTTAAGTATATCCATCGGGTATTTGTTGTATTAAAACATTCATTTTGCACCACTGTTCCTATCAGTACCTGATTGATCTCGTCGTCATAAATTTATGAATTAAAATGTCTATTTGAAGTGTATATTACGAAACTCGTCCCTTACTACTAGCAATAATGTCATTACACAATAAATCCATATAACAAATTGCAATTTAACCGCATTATCATGACAAATTACTATATACAACTAAAGCTTGTTATGTATTTCAACTTGCACAATACATACATATTCTCTATTGTTCTTACATGGCTGCGACGTCGACGCAATTTCAACAACGGAATCTCATTATTAGGTATTTTTTTTCATGTGAAATGTAATCAAGGCCTCATATTAACATAACAATAAGTATAAAAATAATATAAATTATTATTTGAACTGCTTTGTTAATACAAAATGATGTAACTGTTTGATAATTTGAAATTAATGATCATTTATTTTAAAAGATAACATCGAAATTTCTGGAATTTATTTTTAATGTGAGGTTTTTGTTATTGAATTAATGTGTAGTTTAAGTTGTGGGTTTACCGTTAACGGTAATGTGGGTTTAGATCTAGTCTGAAGTTTACTTACAAAAGTTTTGTAATTTATACCATGTTAGTTACACATACCAGTGGTTGTAACACTTAATAGCAGAAAGATTTCGAAAAAAGTTAATGCAATGAACTCTAAACAGCCGTATCGATGCCATTTTCCTACGCGTCATTGCTACACACACCATAGTTTAGAAAATTAGCATAGTGCGTGAAGTAAATGTGATTGGCATGCATAATTTAGAAATGCGCGTTACCGTTTGAGATGGACTGACATGCTGTAAATGTACACATTTCCAATGTATTATTTACATAATAATTTGGGTGGATTTTATAAGCCAGACTATTAAAATCTCGTGTTGAATCTGCATTGTTAAGTTTTGTGTCGAGTTCGTGTTATTATTTTACGTTGTGTGCACATGCGCCAATACGATTCAGTTGTCCAAGAACAAGCGTAGCTGGTTCAACAGTTTTAATGACTTATAGTTCGTTTAAATTGCCATAATTAATGGGAAGTGCACCCAGGTTATTGTTCTCAATCATATGACGTTACAGAGCTGAGCTACTGAGCTCTACCCATACATGTCATGTTCTCATTAAGTACTCGAATATCGTCGCCACTCGTTTCTACTGCATCTTCATATTGTTTAGTTATTCGCCTATTCACTTGAATAACTTAGGTATTAATAAAGTTCCTTTAAGGTCATCTTTAGTTGCATAACGTTAATGACTTTTGATTGTATTCAGTGTTAGTCTTTACATAATCGTTGTTTACTTTCATGCACCATATTATGGCGTCTATTATTCAACCCTGTTTGTTCCCTTACCAGCTGTTTACACAAATACTGTTATTGCGGTTACCAGACTTATTTAAAAAAGAAATATCTCATTGAATAGTTAACGATTCTAAACTAAGATATATTACATGTATTTGTTTGTATGTTGTATTTCGTTGTGTGCTTGTGTTGTCGTGAACAATATCAGCTTTAAAACATTATATACCGAATTATTTTTAATGTTGTCTTATGTATTGTTACATACATTCATACATTCTGTCGTCACAACGCTTACACTGCCTTTATTTTTGTTACATGCATTTAAAATAAGATTACACTTATAATCTCTATCCGCTTCCTCCCTATAGTCATTCACAAACAGTACAGTAACTTGTAAAATAGTTATTCAAATAAACAGTTCAACAGCAGATTGGTACAAAATAATAATAATAGATACGAATATAATTTATTCTTTGCATTAGATGTAAACTGTTTAAAGTGAATCATAGTAAAAGTGTTCTATTATTTTAAAAGATGAATAAATAAATCTATTTTGGCACCAGATTGAGACTATTTTCAGACAAAATTGATGGAATTGATAGAGAACTCATTTATTGATTGTATGTACGCCTATAGCTAAAGTGTATTTATTTATCAGAAGCTGTGAATCTGTACTTAAATTATAATCACAGAGTATCTCAGTGTCATGTCGATAACGTCACTTTTGTGCAAAACACAATAAAGTTAAATTAAAAAGAAAACCTTGTTTGTTATTTTATGAACATCGCGTTACATTATTATTTAGACGTAAATCTTACTCTATTATAAATACGAAAGTTACGATGTTTGGATGTTTGTTACTCAATCGCGCCAAAATGGCTGGACGATCTGGATGAAATTCGGCACAGGCATAGACATAGGCTACTTTTTATCAAAACACCACGCGGGCGAAGCCGCGGGCGGAAGCTAGTAGAAAAATCTTTGGAATATTCAGTATCCACACATGTTAGCGTGAGCCAAAGTCATCTTAAAATTTAAATATAGATTGATAAATTAAATCAATATGTTTACAAACTGTTAAAAAAGTACTGAACTAAGGAGTCCGGTGTAAACTTTCACGAATCTTTCATATTTCAAAAGGCAGGCAACGCGCCTGAGACCCAACAAGGCAGGCAATCAATCTCTGGTGCCGCAGATATCCAAGGGTGGCGTCGATCACTTACCATTAGGTGATCCGTCTGCTCGTTTGCCTCCTAATTCATAAAAATCTGTTCCGGAGTTCTATGTTCGCTTAATGCTCTAAAAGTATTACCGAAAAATCTTTTTTTCATGATCATCCAGGTGAAAAATATTTCCCATGCCTTATTATTTTACTTGTAATATCATGGTACTGCGAAACAAATGTGATGCACTTTTGTGGCATTCGTTTCAACTATAAGGCCTGATAACGGAGAATTGGAGAAGCAGCGCTTTAGGCGTTGGTCGTATCTTTCAGGAACGCAAGCACAAACAATGTGCATGCAGTCGCATCTCCGTAAATGACGCTTAGAAATATTTTTTTACCAATGCGTTATTCTCACCAGCTGTACAATGTGTGGATATTCTTTACTCAAACCCAAGCTGCAAACAGGAAGTGCCTAAACCTAATAGTACTAAATACTTCGCACAAGTATATTTTCTCTTACAGAGTTGCAATTTTATCAGTTCCATATACCTATCATAAAATGTGTCATAGATAATGAATGTAAAAGTGTTGGAGAGGCGAGCTTTGGCACGGATGGGTCAGCTCGACCGGAGTGATACCACGGCCTCACAGGAAACCAGCTTAAAATAACCACAGCATTGAATTTCGCCGTGTGGTACCCGGAGGTCCAATCCTTCCCCTTCTCCCATCCTTTCCCAATACCTAAATCTGCGAAACCGTTATCGACAAACGACCGGCTACGCACTCGTAACTCCTCTGATGTTGCGGGTGTCCTTGGGCGGGCGGCGCCGATTGCATACCATCAGGTAATACACAAGGTAGTTTGCAGACCTATCACATAAAAAAATGAGTCTTTGTCTTTAGTAATTAAAGTGTTGTTAAAAGCGAAATAATGGACTATTAAATTTAAGATCATAATTTTATTGACTAAGTAATGCCTCTATAACTCACAAATGACAATTGAAAAGAAATAAAACCACAAATTACAAAGATATAATTTTATTGAAAAATAAATCAGTTATAACTAAATACAGAGAGATTATCACTGAGAGAAAACACCGAACATTGCACGTAAACGTGTGCATGAAATATTTTATAAAAAAATAACCTTACTCAGTTCCTTGATTTAATTGTAATATACGATCACGCAGGGCCACGTCACACATCGTCCGCCATCGATAACAATACAAATTGTACTTATTTGCGTTAAGACACTGAACTGTGATGCGCTCATTATGAAACATGACCCCGGTTCTAGGTGAAATTGTTAACACTTCAGGAATTTCGACATTTCCAATGTCATTCTGCTGTCAATTTTATACTACTGTCCTTATTATGTATGTATGTAAGATAGATCATTTTGAATGTAAACAAATGAATAGTTATAGTATAAAAATTTACAAATTTACAGTTAGGTACTTATTAATTTTATTTGACATAGGCGCCATCATGATATTAGGTCATTTTGGGCTCTAGACAAGCAGCTTTAAAATAAACCAACAGTCATTTGCATCTCAAGTTCGAAAAAAGTGGAAGTCATTCCTCATTGACGATCAAAATTTGGATTTTCGCTAGAGCTTGTAGAATTAGAGATACTATAAATTACAAGACCAGTCATAAGCTATGTTGTCCTTGATTTTTTGTAGTTTTGGTCAGCCGGAGACGGCCATGGTATTACACTGTTTATTTTAAATTGAGCATTGTTTTTGACAGGCGGTTTGTTATTTGAAGTCTATTTGGTACAACGACACAAAATATTGTCACACTGAGTAAGAAGTGACTCCTGAAGTGAACAATTTGTTGATTTTATTCGTACAAAGGCGTTATTATACCTGTAAGAGGAACCATGTAAGGACGTGTAGATCTTAAGATTAGGAACCATAACAAGTATATAGGAGATACATGAAAATAAAATAAAAATTACTGTCTGTTACGATCATCACATTATGTAGTGGTCTTACTATTAGCAGTAATAATTATAATTGACATGCAAATTACCACTGCTGTTACCCTAATACACGTTACATATTGGTCAGTCATGCAATACGAAGTTTTACAAAATTCGCACGTTTATTTGCATTACTTACGTTTACATTAATGTAAATTTGGACAATACTCCCGGGCCGAGATCAACGCATAAAATGTCAAATAGTTCCAAAATATAACTAATCATTTCATTCATTATTTTAATCGTGTAAACATCATACGTTATCGTCAATGTTGCCAATGTACGAGGAAAATTAAATTAGCTAAAAATATTGAGCAAAAACATACCTCTTTTTTTTAAATCCGGTCAATTATAGTTATCATAAAATTTCAACACTAAGTATATTAATCTTCAATTTCATTGAACATTTCCACGTGTTGGCAACAGAGACAATTATAAATTGCACAAAATATATAAAGATACGTAAAGCATAATCATATAAAGATATTAAAAGTATTACGAACAAATAATAAATGCATTTCTGACGAGAAAGTTTGACGTGTGAATCATAGATGGCGTTACTTGCCGAATTTCGCGAGGGCCTGTTTGCATTCCTCGATGGTCTTTTTCTGTCGCTCTATGGTAGCAGAAGTTTGTTTAGAGCCCTGGAGCCTGATGCAGCTGGCGATCGTTGTGTAGTACCCGCATACATTATGGAGTATACGAACAGCGCGATCGCCGCAAACAAATAGATATTTTCCGCTTGCATCAAATTTCATGTAGTTGATTAATCCTGTTAACACAAAAATGATAATTATGCAATAATTTTGATAAATAGCCGTCATTGTTATCAGGAGCCGTGCATTTATAGACGCTATATAAGTGCAAGTGATCGATAACGATACCTTGAATGGCCTATTCAATAATTCACGGCCTACTGCAGCCTCGCCACCGAGTTAAAAATACAGTTACACGCCCATTAGAACCATATAGTGGAGGGCTACCTTTGTTTGTTTCTTTTGTAGTTATTTTTTAGTACAAAATGGCTTAGTTACAAATCAATAGTGTGAACTGGCGCTTTCCGCGACTACAGCGTTTGCTTGGGTTTCAGTCCCTTTACGAAGTTGAACGTCGTCACAAACTACATTATTTATGTCTATTATTTCTAGAAGTAATTTTTTCAGATCGATATCTAATTTTAGAGTAAATTTTACGTTCATTGAAATCTACAATATAGGCTTATAATCTTTTTTGTTATAGTCAACAATAAAATTGTTTTCTGGTTAAAATAATTTCAGAATAATATGTGTGACACACAACCTTCGCCTTATTCAAATGAATAATAACCGAAAAGATCTAAATACACACTTCTACTAATTTAATAAAAAAGAAACACCATAAAAACATTATTTGCGATTCCCATAAAATCAAAACATTGAGGTAAACCAATAGGAGCCTGTTTAGCAAGAATTTTATTATTTAGGTATATTTTTTTCATGACCCACCTTATCCAAGGCCTCAACGTTATTCAGATGACATAAGAACAACATAGTCGTAGCAATACAAAGTCTATTTGAAAAAATAAATGAGACGTTCTATGTAAACAGAATGTGACTATTGGAAAACCGAGCATGGAGTCTCCGTTTGACTGAGTCAGAGTCCTGAGTCGGGTTTATAAGTAGGTAGGAAAGATTTTCAGCAATCGTTGAGTTTAAAATTGTGCCTGATCGTGAAACACGTTTTTTAAGAAATATTTATGAGTCCCATTTCATAAAACATTTTTATTAATTACTAAAATATCTAAACTACTTTTACAAAACAACGAAATCGGAAAAAGACATTATTACAAAAAAAATACAATTATGTATTCCGATCTACTATTACAATGCAATACAGTCAAAAAAAAGAACTGATAACTTTTTGCCCGGCCTGAGGACCGAACCCGTGACCTCGATCTCCACAAAAACTATTCGGCTGGCCGTGTATGTAGGTATGCTACTTTTTGTGATGATTCGTTAATCTCCATTTATCTATACACTTAATATAATAATTGACATTGGGGGACATCCCAAATGCGATAGTGATTCAACAGATTGAAATACGTATGGGAAATTCCAAATAATTTTCCGATACATTTGTTCTAATAAGTAGAAGTTTTTATTAGAAAGAGAACATTAGGATAAAATCAATAGCTGGTTTTTGCTTTTGTTTCTAAATATATTTGCACTAACGTCATAAATTCCGTTGAAACTTTAAGCTACTTCTGTGCAGGTATTTCCTCTTGTACATTTTTATTTTTTTACCATACCAGGAAAAGTTTATTTATTTATTTCCACACATTAGTTCGCCATTACAGGTAAGTTAACCTAAGTTCTTTAAATCTAACGTATATCTATAACCCCCAAGCTTTAGGGTCAGTTTCCGATAGTTACCTAAAAAAACCGTGGTATATTATCATCATACTCCGTGACTATTAAAAAAATCAACATTTCCATATTACTTTGGTTGACCAGGTCACCATGGTGATTTTTTGATGTGGTTTGTTTTAAATGTCCTTTTAATATCACCATCGCTAGTCAATAAATACCACGAAACTCGAGCCCCGTGTATAAATACCATGGATAAAGTAACTTATAACTTTTACAACCAAAAAAGTCAGGTATAACAAGATGTCCTCCTGACAAAAGACACACCCGTACTTATAGGATCTACTGTAAACCCAAAATAATTCTTTCTTTTCATTAAATAATAGACACCGATATTGTTTGAAATAGATTACAGCGCAGACATTTCTTTGTGCCGAACACCCAAAAAACACCATGATGTCGTTTAGAAGCTTGTAACATTTTACCTATGGAAGTGGTGAGTTTAAGCTTAAGACCTAATCCACTATTGAATTCCGTCTCTATAGGTACTAAATATGTGCATGTGTAGCAACGCCGGTAGGGGCCGCCCTAGGGGAACGTAAACATAGTTGACCTCATTACAGATATTGTGGAAAATGCCAGGTGCAGCAGTACTTTAATATACCTACGTATAACACGTTTTAAGTGTGGGAGAGCCATGCTTCGGCACGAATGGGTCGGCTCGACCGGAGTGATACCACGGCCTCACAGAAAACCGGCGTGAAATAACCACTGCGTTGTGTTTCGCCGTGTGAGTGAGGTTACCGGAGGCCCAATCCTTCCCCTTCCCCAATCCCTTCTCAATCCCTAAATCTCGAAATCCCTAATCCCTAAAAGGTCGGCAACGCACTCGTAACTCCTTCGTTGCGAGTGTCCATGGGCGGCGCTGATTGCTTACCATCAGGTAATCCGTCTGCTCGTTTGCCGACCTATTACATAAAAAAAACAGCTATTACTACATGTATATACATCATCACATCATCAGTTAAAAGTGCTCACTGTTGAAAAAAGGACTCATTTCGCACGGAGAAGTCGGGAGAAGGTTTGAACTTTAATCACCACGCTTTAGCTATTTCAAACTTATATAAACGTGGATTTATAAATATTATTATAAATCCACGTTTTCTAGCGATGTTATCCTTTGTCCTATGTCAGCAGTGTTAATTATCTTAGGAAGTAAGTACTTATAAGTAGGAAAAAGTCACATTAATATTTGCCAAAACTTCGAAACCGCTCATGCATGAGAAGTACCCATGTTATCAACTCAACTTACTAGCTAAATATGTCCCACGCTGGTTACTATTCAAAAATGGTATATTTTTTTATTAAACCCATCGTATTTGAATGTCGTGTCCCAAAATTCGACTATAAGCCGACACTGGAGGATAGACCTGTCCATGACTACTCGGGGAAAAAATATCCTTAAGTATCATTTTTTTTAAGTTATACAAAAGATTGAAATTCTTTCAAAAATTGAGACCTTTTATGAAATTTTTACTACCACATTTTTTAAACATTTCTAGTTTTTATTATTACTTATAGCCAACCTGAATAACACCGCTATCTACCACAATCCTTAAAAAACCAGAATGTCTCTAATTTTATCACAAAAATTAATGAAATTTATTTTATTCCCTTTGAAGATATTTAGTTTTGAAGATTCCAAAATGATACAATACTCTATGAAAACCAGTCACAAAAAAATAATATATTATGCGTACTAGTTCAAAACAAGAACCAATTCCAAAAATTGTTGTTGTATGTCAACATTAACCACTTTTACTACGCGTCCAAAACGGATTCTTGTTACAATAAGTTAGTTAGATAGATAGAGAGATATTTACATTAAAAAGAGACAGATGAAAAATGTTTTTTTTTATTGAATCAACAGGGCAGGTAGAAAAGCTGTAGCTATTCTCAGCAAGTCAGTTCAGTATGTTCTGCTCCTTTGTTTACTGCGCACCGTTCTGTATTCAACTGACGTGGCTCTCGTACGTACTAAGACTTTTGGCTTGGCCTTTTGGACTGGAAGTGATCTGCAAACTGAACTGACCTGGCATGATCTTGGACTACGATTGTGTTTTGATTCGGATTTCTTAGGCATTTTGGACTGTTTAGCGTTTATCATGCCGCAACCATACACACCACAGGAATACGCTAATATGCACCTTATCTATGGAGAATGCCAATGCAATGCTAACGCTGCTAGCAGACTGTATCGAGAAAGGTACCCTAATGCTCAAAGATATCCTGATCATTGAGTGTTTATTAATGTGCATCAAGCTTTTTCGGAGGGTCATATGCCATCCAGTAGGAGAAACGCTGTAAGACTTAGATTGGATATTGATGAAGAAGTTAAGAAGAAGAAGAAATATACTGCTCATAAGTAGTCAGACCTAACAAAGCTCACGGTCACTTTGGCCTACGCACACTTGTACTGCCAAAGTATTCGTGTCTGTATCTGCTTTCTAGTTTCTAACAGAGTTATGTGTGATAATGGAAAGAATAAATAAATAAACTTACCAGAGTAAACATTCTCAACGGTATCGTAAAGTTTTCCTGTATAGGTGTCGTAGAATTCGACGCTAGAGTCTACGGAGACGGCGAGGACCTCGGCGTTTGGTGAGAGAGCTATGTGCGGCGGGTTCGCTGTTTGGCGGTACGTGCCCGTCTCCAACACGTGTGGGGACTCACCACGCGTGTACTCGACTGGAATAAAACAAACTTAGGGTTAAATTCTGTTTGGTATCAAAGTCTTACTAGTTGCGTCGCAGACAAGTATTGTTTTTTCAGTATCAAAGTTCTATGTAACGGTGAAGTGAAAAATAATATCATCCCTGTAGTTCATTTAAAAGCGTGATAATTTCTATCTTTTATATATAAAAATGGATCGCAAAATGTGTTGGTAAGCGGATAACTCAATAACGCATAGACCGATTTTGCTAATTCTTTTTTTGTTGTGTTTGTTATTGTCAGGAGAAGGTTCTTATCAAAGAAAATATTAGTACTGTAGAGGCGAAGTTTAGGAAAAAGTGACCCTTTGATATCGAGATAGCTGGACCCACGCGAAGCGGGGGTGGGCCGCTAGTAAGTAATAAAATAACAAGAGAAAACGCAGAAATTATACATATTTGTAGAGTGTAAATCAATATAGTACATTGCTATAGTTTAATTTCACTAAAACATGGAGATTACAGAAAAGGAGAACGATCGCTACGTGAAAACATTAGCCCGCATGTCCCTGAAAATTTTTAGAATTAATAGTTCATTTTACAGCCACCAGCCGCGCTGCATTCGGTAACTAGGATCTGTGAAGTTAGCTGCTTATCAGTGCAAGTAGATGAAGTTAGTTGAATAATGAACAAATTCTTCGCAGCATTGATTAGTGCACAACAACTCGCTATTATTGAGACAACTTAGCGACACTATTTTCTACGGCGATCGTTCTCCTTTTCTTAAACCTCCATGCACTAAACTATCACGTCTTGTTTTCGAGACAAAAAGCCTCGTGGCTCTCTAGGGACCCATAAAACACAAGCATGTTAATTCAACAAATCAAAACTGCGCAATTCATTAAAATTTTACTTAGAAAAACAATTTTATTGATCTGACGAAGACTAACTGAATAAGACTTCGAACCGAGGTTAAAGAAAATAAACTTTAGAACGAAGCATTGAACGAACAAGGTTGACCTTATTCTGAGTCTAGCCTTGGAATCTTACTCACAACATATTATTACGCCTTATTCCCCGAATGACTATAAAAGTATACAACTGTAAATTATAATACTGAAGCTTTTACATATATCATCATCATTTTACAATAAAAATAAAATCCGGTCACCATAAACTAATAAATCGAATACTCTCGAAACAAAATAAACTCTTAATTAACGTACTCAATAAATCGACTCAACATTTTATAAATAAACATGTTATTCGAGAACTGATTTAAAAAATTGTTATTGCAAATATTTTTGTGTCAACAAAACATTTAATGGCTTCTATAACCTATATGAAATTCTAATACCGTTAATTTCTCACGTTTTAAACTTGGAACGTTGATGCGACGCACAGATAAAAAACAAATCCACCTAAAGTCAGCCAGCCTGACCAGTTTCTGGAAATGGTTTTGCCGTAACAAGTTTATCTATAAACGCATTATAAAGTCGTAATAAAATTTGAATAATGCCGTATAGAACATCTGCGTGGTATTGAAAATGAAACGCGATCTGGTACCGCGGGATTGACCCATATGACGTGTCCGTACGCCGTAAGTTTCCAGACATACGTACCTACGAGTATACAAAATAAATAGAGTCATGTTTTCCTTAATTCCCATTAGCGTCAGAGATTTGTTTTCTGTATTTACCTATGCAATGTATCAGTCACCTATCAGTTACCTATCAATGACTAGCGACTCTCGCGCGGTTTTACCCGCTGCACTGCTCCAACAGATCGTAGCGTGATGTTTTATACCTATAGCCTTCTTCGATAAATGGACTAACAAACAAAAAAGTACTGTTCAATTTAAATCAGTAGTCCCGCGTTCAAACAAACAAACTCTTCAGCTTTATAATGTTAGTATAGATTCTCTTAAGTAATTAATTAACAAAGAATAATACAATTTGACGGATGCATGATTCACCGTTCTTCCCTTTATCCTGGGCCTCTTTTCTACTTCTACACTTTGCGATTAGTGAATTCGAAGCATCAAATTATTGATTTATATTAGAAGGATCAAACCGGATTGCCTGTTTTGTTTGTTGAGTTAGGTGTGGAGGTATCACTAATAGGTCCTCACAAATGCAAAGGCAATGGAGTCTGATTTTTGTCAAGCAAAATACCTACTTTTAGCCTCACAGAAAACCGGCGTTTAATATCGTTATGGACTAAAGATAGAAGGTCAAAACCCCTCATCCCCAATCCCCAAATCTATAGAATTGCTAACCATCAGTTAGCTTAGTTTGCCACCCTATGTGATAAAATAAAGTATTGCATGGAGTACATAAAAAAGCGTCTTCCGCTTGTCGGAATAAAAAAGCGGGTTATGTTTATCAAATTTAAATTAAACATATTATATTAAATGTCAATGCTCTCCTACTGTAACGACTAGCATCTGTTCACTACGGGGGGTAATCTTACGTTTCTTTGGATACATTCAAATGGCCAGTCTCAATATCTTTTGTGATTAATAGCTTACTAAAGTAAGACACATTTTGTAAAGAATGTTTTGGCATTTTGTAATGTTAAAGTCAAAATTATAAAGCGTGGGGGAGCCATGCTTCGGCCCAATCGACTGGAGTAATACAACCTCATAGAAAACCAGGGAGGAAAAACGCTTGTAGTTTAATGTTTCGCTGTATGAGTGAGGTTACTGGAGGACCTATCCTTCCACCTGTATCGCTATATCTCCAAAACCCTTAATCTCTGAATCCTCAAATTCCTAAAAGACCGACAATGCACTTGCAACTGCGTCAACGACCCTCCCTTTTTTTCATCAAATGACTTATCTCGTCTAGAGTATGGCGATAAGAAGTGTCGGACTCTTACTGACTAAAAAGCCCCGTTCCTTTTCTTGCTCCAGGCAGGGCAGGGGTCAAACCTTACTGCATTTGACCAGCGACGCGTCAACCCCCCTGATCTTGGCATAATGGGTATCTAAGATCGGCGTCGATAGCTTAATGTCAGGTGATTTGTCTGCATATCATAAAAAATATACCTAGAAGCTAAATGATAAATATTTTATTGTTGCTAACCAAAACGCTTTCCGAGCTTCTGATATCGTCATAACTAGCTACGAAATTTTAATACTTTTTCTTACCCATTACAAATATAGTACCTACATTAATTGAAGAGCGGACATATTGTATGGTACTTAAGGTAATAAGGAAGCGAAAAGGTTCAATGTTAAGCGCATACCGTGACCTGTGTCAAGATATTGTTCGTCTGAAATTATAGGTATACGAAACAAAAAGATAATTAAATATGTGATAAAGCGAGTGTAAAATTAAACTTTTGGACATTGGACAACTAAAGAAAAAATGCATAGATGGTGCGAGCAAAACAGGAGTTTGTAATAAGATGATATCTGATATGGGAGAATACAAAAAACATGGCAAAGATATAGTTCGAACCCCAATTGGTTAAAAACTACTTATTGTCAATGTCAATTGTTACCGCCGTTCCTAGTAATTTAATGACTAGGTACTTAAATCACGTCCTTACAATTTTTGATTTTGATCTGTATGGTTTAAGAATTTACCTAAATCTATCACGGCAGCTAGTCTCTTTTATCGACAGGATGTATCATATGAGTATGTGGTTTTCCTTCAAAAGTATAGATCAGTCAAACTTTTATTTTTGATTGCTTACAATATGTTTCCTCATCTAGAGCATTGAGAAGCATGTGGAACGGTGGTAGTGATAAGGGGTTCTAAGGTATGCAACCATCGTCGCATCTGTTTATTTGCTATATTTATTTTAGAATAATATCCTGAAGAATTCTACAATTCCATTCGCCCATTGTGATCGACATTTGTCAGTTATGAAAATAAAATTTTCGTGAGCCTAATTGTGGTGTAATTTTCACTGTGGTATAATTTTTACACAAAATAATAAGTAAAGTAATAAAAAAATTGAATGATATCATTATTTAAATAAAGCATTGGTCTGTTAAATAAAATGTATTAAATTTTCCTGTACATTTTACCTGCCTTTTATGTATTTACATTATTAACAAACGTTTATACCAACTAAACTATATACATACACTTTAGAAGTCAAAATAGAATAATTGTACAAGGTTTTGGTATGCATTTATGCAGGGTCAAAAATTGTCGAAGACTGAATGTTTAAAAAGTGTATTTTTTTAGTAGTTAGCTTATTAAAAACCAAATCCCATCTACCCATATAACTGTGCAGGACGTATGTGAGAGTTGCGGATGCCGAACGTGCTGTTTAATTGCGTCATCACTTAAGGGAAGCCCTCTACGAAACCGATGACGCAATCAAACAATTTCCTGCATGGTATCCAACGAATCTATTAAGACTAGAGTGACTACTAGCCCAACAGGTGTGCTATACGCATTGATTCTACCTTCTTCTATGAGATGGGTCCATTAACAAAGATACAAATTCACATACATATTACACCTAATCTAGGAAAAATAACTTGCAAGTCACAAAAAGTCGTTCCGTGCGGGAATGGAACTAGCGACTCGTTGCGCAGGCGCCGATTACTCAAACGCTGCGCCAACCGTGCAGTAAACTATGAAAAAGGGTGGCAAAATCCTTCCTTCATATAAAAATCAACCAACTGAAATGCCATTGCGACTGCGTAAAAAGATGCAACTAGCGTAGCATCAACGGCAATAAAAATATCATGGAGCCTATCATAAGGAAGTAGGAAAAACAAACAACAAGTTGCAAATTGTATATCAACATTGTTATTGGAAGGTCCTAGCCATAATTATTATGATTAGAAAAATATGAGCCACGTGTACGATAAACACGCAATCTAGCCTAGGGTAGGTAGAAGGGCCCATTTTAAAAAAGGAACAACAAATGTTTTTACGCAAACGAGGATACGTACTTGTCATCTGATAATAAGCCAATTACGCCACCCATGGACATCTACAACACCAGATATCTGTGTTGCCGGTCTTGTGAAGGACGATTAGACTTTTCACCCAGTATGTTACACATATTACTAAGAAATTACGTGAAAACTCAACCAATAGTACGGTCTTGGCCCTAAATAATATGAATGTGGGAGAGCCACGCTTCGGCGCGAATGGGTGGGCTCCGCCGTAGACTCACAGGATATCGGCGTGAAGCAAAACTTACGTTGTGTTTCGCAGTGCGAATGAGGTTACCGAGACCTCATTCCCCTCCCTCATCATTAATCCTCAAATCCTCAAATCTCTAATAATAATGAAGAGGCCCGAAGCGCACTTGCAGTAACTCCTTTGGTATTGCGAGTGTCAATGGGCAGCGCCAATTGCTCATCCTCAGGTGATCCGTCTGCTCGTATGCCGTTAGCGTCGACCTATGCAATAAAAAAAATCGAAAACAAAGTTTCCTTACTTGGCAACGCAGTTAGGAACCAATAAGGTTTACAAAAAAAACAAAACTGTTACCACGAAATTGAACCGACCATTTTTGTGTTAGCTGATGGTAAGCAATCAACGCCGCTTATAGAGAAACCCTGCAACTTCATTCATTCATCACAAAAAGAGTACACTCTTTTCGTATAAATTTGAACGTATGAACGTGATTAGTGGCTTGTACGTAGAGGAAAAATATGTATGTCAACTGACCTACTCTCAATAGTGTTGACATGATTAATTTACAAATAAATTACGAATTTACTATGAAAAATGGAATTTAATTGAATTAATTCCCAGAGTAAATTTATTTGGAATACGTATTTATTTGAAATACCGTCCTTTTGCTTTTTGTTTGGCCTTCTTTATCTCTCTTTGTCCATGGTCATCATGGAACTATTGGATTTTCAAGAAATGCATACCCATCTGTATATACATAGGTATAATTAATATCATGCTGTTTAATTCTTTAACATTTGTCAGTAACTGTAAGATATTATCTCATAAATTACGGTTAAAAAAATTTAGAATTTTTCCAGAACCCGAAAACCAAATAGCTTTTATGCGTGTGACCTTCGTATCTTACGCAATAATATTTCTGCTAATCATTACAAATATTTTAACAACAATATTGACAATAACACCAGGAAACCGCCACGTGGTACATAGCGAATCCATAACAACGCGATGATAATAATTCATTGACTTTAATCGTATGAGAGCAATCTGCGCAATACATAGAGTAATTAATACGTTACTATACATCTACGTAACGAACCAACAACCCGTGTGTACACCGTCTATGTAAATAACAAAGTAAACAAGTCGCATAGTATTATATAACACGATAGTAGATAAAGAGGAACGCAATTCTTAAAACTCAATAATTGATGTACCTACTTCTACGTGCAACAATAAACTCACTGATGTTCCAATTAATTTGTTTAAACGTTTATCATATGACACGAGCGCTACTCTATCAAGTCCTCAGTCGATGACGTCACGTCTGCTTACTTTACTTAGTCCTCCAGAGTCACGTCTCGATACAACATGTACGTAAAATGCAAGTGATAATAAGGAAGCATTTGCGCATCAACATTACAAGTCGTATACTTACTCTTTGTATGATATAGCTTCCACGTGCCGTCCTTCGATATAGTCGCGATGTGTGACGTGTCCACATCGAAGGCAACGTCGTAGACGCCAGAAGAGTGACCGGTTAGCTCGAACGCCTTTGTCACTTGTTTGAACTCCCCAGTCTTTGTGAAGCACACCTCCATCACTTTGACATCGGGCGCGAAGCCCGTCGCGACTACAAAGCGGCCGCACGGCGAAACTTTGGCGGTGTGTGTCGTCATTAGGTACGTGTCGAGCCGTTCTAGCTGCTGCCCCTTCAGGTCCCAAATCACCATGTCGTTGTTAGACGAGCACGACATCATAAACTTGCCATTGCTGGATATGTCGAAACCAACTGCATCAGTCTCATGAACCTGCGAAATTAAAACATCCATACATGTATTTTGGCGCACAACGAGGCTCTAAGTTGCTTTGTTACATCTATAAAGAGGTCGCTGGTACTGTTAAGCAAACAAGAAGTGATAAGCAGTAATACCAAACATGGATGTAAATCTAATATTTAACCAACGGATTATAATAGATAAGGTGATACACCATAATGAGGTTGATACCTTGTAGAAGTAATGTGAAGTGAATAGGTTAACACGGAACTAGCATCATGTTAATATTCAGTGTAGTCCTGACGCCTCGCGCATCATGTTTAATGTAAGCAATATACATGTGCGTGCGGAAAATGTACCAGAGAACCTTCCTGCGGCTAAAAATAATATTATTCGAGGCTGCGCGTGCGTCGATCCGAACGGAGCCGTAGCTATACTTAAGCAATACAGCCAATACAATCGGCCACACAATACGCGAACCATAAATATTGTAGTAAGCAAGCCATTATAGTCATTACTGCCTTCGCTTAAAGATAGCATAAATGTTTAACAGATGGCGTAAACGCTTTGATCAGTGTACCGCCGACATCAAAGTGCCATTGTTCCGGTGGAAGGTCTTTTTTAACCTCCCAACCGTACATGTACCTACGTGTTCACTTGTTTAAGACTGATGTAAACTATTGTGCAGATGAGACATACGTTTTTGGGTGTCAACGAGCATCATGCGGGCCCCAGTGTCGTGACCCGTATGACGCAATTTTATGCCATATTTCAATAAACTTTGTACTGGGATTTACTTAAACGCTAAAAAATGCCCAGTAACTGTATTTATAACTTCATTATCACTCTTGTAAAAACCCCTACAAATGACTTAAATTTCATAATAACATGTTTTTCTTTCTGTTTTCGGAGATAAGTTTGTGATTGTGAGATATATTTTGTTTTGATAATGACTAATGAAATAAATGAAATCTCAAGTTTACATAGTGTCGTAGCTTGACACACCAGCTGTGCGATTTATCAATCCATCCATAATAGTCGAATCATCAGATGAAAACTCTAACAGAATATTGTCTTAGGCCTTCTAAGTGAATTATATTATTGTCTGAAACACAATAACAAAGAAATACGGTATTGAGAGCAACACTTGCATAAATGGCAGGCAACATGTCAGCCAGCCAACTAGTGCGACATTACATCGACCCCGATATTTGTGTAAATGTTATTACCAACCAGAATCAATAGAGTAAAGTGAGTAATACCTTTTATTGCATTTTACTATACTAAGTACCTCGTATCGTATATTTCATGTATATCTATATCTACACCTACTTATAAAATTAGTAATCTCTGTTCTTCCTTAATAGTAGTCCTCATTTATAAGTGTGATTGTGCGTGTTCTAGATCACATATCAATAAAGTGATTCGATTTAATCTTTATTTAATTCAAAGGCAACCGGCTCATTAAACCTAGTTTTGTACAACTAACTCCATCCATCATTTTGTTGGTTTATTTTGCTTATTAAAACAACGTTAGCAGTAACCAAAATGAACATCTGTTAACTGTATGAGCTTGTGACCTATTTAAATGTTTGAATAGCACACCGCATTTAGAAAAGAGTTTCTATTTAAACATGCTCAAGGGAGACACTTCATAGAAAACAAGTTCATGGTATGATGGCGTTTTCTTTCGTTGTTTCTATAATGATGGGAATTATTGTAGCATTGAGACAGTGCAGAGAATATTCGAGAGTCAGTTCATGCACTACAATTAGCGAAATCTTGTGATTGTATCACCGCTAACAATAGCAAACATATAAAAACATGAACCGTGTAAGATACATAACGACCAGATATTCATACAGATTCATACTTCAGACGAAACAATAGTCATTTCATATTTTATATATTTTTTGCGGAGGTTCATTGCCGAGACGCAAGGTTGTTCAATTTTATACAAAATGTCGAAACGCATCTGCGGGCGTGACTGACATTGTGCCTCCTACTGCTTTTGATTATCCAACTTTTTATTTATAAGCGGAAGATAAAATATTCACTAAAGGCGATATATTCTGTACGCCATAATTGATTATGTAAATTCCTTAATATGCGTTGCAACTTGAAGTATGTTTAAGAACTATAAGACCAGATAAATCACGTACTGGTATTGTGTATATTTTGATAACTGTAACTACGTCTGTTCCGTGATTACAACTTAATACAAGGGAGGCATACATGATAGTCATATACGTAGGTACTCTATCATACTACATGGACTTATTGATTGTAGAAAATACTGCGCTTTTGTCTACTATTTCTACAATCAGCCATTTACATAACAAAGCTTTCAAACTTGCGGTTCATTAAAAGATACTTCTCGCAGAATCATTTGATATCTAGGTATACTAATATTATGAAGATGTAAATTTTGTAAGTTTGTATGTAGGGGATAATCTAATTGGAACCCCTGGTCGGATTCCTTCACTTATTGATAGCTACAATGTTCCCGAATGCTATAGGATATAAAACATCACGCTACTATCAAATGGAGCCAAGCAGCGAGTGAAAATGCGCGGGAATAGCTATTTCTTTATAAAAAGAAACAACTGAGAAAAGTTTTCATGACATTTAACCCATCCAAAAATTGCACACCGTAAAGGTTGCATCACTATTAGCAAAATTTTAAAATGAAATGAGCGAGGAAGAAATCTTTGTCCGTATTACAAAGAAAATCGATGAGTGATAAATTGTACGTGATATTGTCTACAATCAACCACTAACTCGTACACAAAGCACGTAACATTAAAATATAATCTCATTTCCATCAGATATTATGACGTAACATTTCAAAACGCAGCTTGTGAAATACAACGTTGCGTTTTAAAAATCTTTATTTCGTCACACCATTGAATTCCAAATAATACAGTTTTGAACTGCGTCATTCCTGACGCGTTTTTCTGAGGACCTGTACCGGCCCCCTTATGACTTAATTGCTCAGTAAAAATTCTTTTGTGGCGAAATGTACCTTTCCCTTTAGTCCTTCAAGAAAAGTAGCAATTTAAGGATGAAATATGAATTCGAATAAAATTCCTTTTAAAAGTACGCTTTATTTAACCGCAATTAACCTCAGGTGTATTCGTAGGTACAAGGCATGTTCTGTCTTCAATAGCAAAGAATGACAATGGAATGTATTTTTCTTTATTAAAGAATGAGTAATATATGTAATAAATAACATGCAAATAAACATCATTTTATTGAATTTCTTTTAAACTCAAGCGATATTAATGAACTTAAAAGGAACAATGGGTATATCGCTTGGTAACTCATTCAGAATGTTATTGTCAAAGATGATCTATAATCGCTTGATAAAAGAAATGGTACCGCAACTTGTTTACGTATTGCAAATGTATTAATTACTTATTGCACACGGTAACACGTGTGTCTCATCCCCGGCTGTGTGGTCTCGATCTAATAATAACTTCCCCATTTGTTCCCGTGGGCGTCGTAACTGGAGATTAAGGGATTATTCCGGACGGATGGGTCGTAGCTACTTACTAAATCAAATCATGTTGCGAAAATCCCATGTAAAGGGTAATTGAAGTACTAATTTGCCTATCCAAATCAATTAAATGACCATGATGTAGAGTGCCTTTTAAACAAAGTGGATTGTGGGAGCGTGGGTGTGGCTCATGTATAGTGGACAGGCACAGCAGTAAACGCGCGCTAACGTGCTAATTTAGGTATTCAATGTAAATGTACATTTACACTTGTGCCACTACAAACAATTGGAACTCCGTGGTCCATGAAAACAATGAATCTTTCCCGAGTATGAAATTCATTTCCACAACGCCAAATTGAAACACCGTTCGCGCGTTCATTTCAGTCAAAATTAATGAACAACAATGCAGCGAATGTGAAATTTTACCAGGCGACATAATAAGTGGGTGTGTGCAGTTTATACAAATAGGTATGTAGGCCAATATCGTTGTAGGGGCTACGATGATTAACCATCAAGTACAATGCTGTAGCTTATCACTAGCCGTGCGACTCGTGACTCATTCGCTGGAAATAAACTTGGGAAACATTTGTATGTACCCATAACAAGGAACTAACTACAAGGTTGATTGTGTTTTTGTGTCTTCATTATCTGTTTTGCGACTTGCAAAGTCATTAGGGACCCTCATGAACTCTAAGTGCCGTCCGCCCGCCTGAATGTCACGGGTAATCTTTATTTAACTCTGGTAGCTTGATAGGTTGTTCCACTATAAAATCAAGTAATAAAAAATCACATGCTTTGTAAAACAATTAGCTATACGTAATTTTTATAAAACAAAACGTTTAGAAGACCTTTCAAGTGGAGTTACGTAAATGGTTTCAAAGAGAAACTGCTCGGGAGTTTCACAATAAGGATGAATGTTCGTGTTGAAATATTTTTCGGGGAAAGCAAGTTTCACGTCACGCATAGAGTTTTGATGCGCGGAGTTCAGTCACGTTACAACTTAAACACAAAATTTAATTAGAAGCTCGTGAATAATTAACAGAACATTGCTTCAGTTTGTCCAAGTAAAGTTGGGAAGTTTCACGTAAAAGCTACTTTCAAGTAAACCTTTCCATCATTTTTCAGGTTATAACAATTGTAAACTTGCCGTACCCACCCAGACGCAATGCAACTGTAAATTCACAAAAGCCAAATAACGCTACTGAACCGGTACACAACATCCAAGACAAAGGTTTGTCACCAGGCGACAAAGAACCAAAATATATGTATATGTAGTTAATTGTAAGTTTCAGACATAAAATAAAATGTTATCAGAATCGCTCTACCGATCCACCACAAAGAAAATTACATTTTTATCAATACAAATAGTTTTATTTGCATTGATAGTACTAACAGGTAGGTAACAGAAATAGAACGAAGAAGGCCCTCAATTTGTACCAAAACACGGAACAACATCAAGACTTGCATTCAACCTCAAACATGCAATTAAAATACTCAGTTCATAATTACAGTGATAAATTAATTACATAATAAC